AGGTGTATATGTCCTGATACCTGCTCATGTTAACAGGAAAATATAGCTGCTGTCTGTCTTTCCAGGCATATTCAGGTTTTCACCTGATGGTCACATTACATCATTGTTTCTCTACAAACAGAAACAGACTTAGTGTCTTAAAGAGTCATCTCAACATCATTGTTATTAAAGATGGAGAACACCATTTTATTTTTTTTACAACTGAAAAGTATCTTTGGACATTGAATTAGTCACGTGATTTAGCAATCAGAATCATTCATTTTAAGTGTTCTCATGAGCAAGGAAGAGACCCTGAGTTCAGAGTGAGTCAGTTATTTTCCTGGTTGTGCAAATCACATACAAATAAAACTTTATGAAATAGTTGAAGAATTTCAGCACAATGATTACTTTTAAACACATATTATAATCAAATTGCTGTCACAGTGAAATAGAAAGCAGGGCTAGTGGCAATGGAATTTTATATCCAGAAATCGTTACAACCATTGACAACAACCAAACCCAGCCACATTCATGTAATCATGTGTGTACGTTAATTTGCAACAATGCCACCAACATGCAAGATCAAGTCGACTGACATCAAGATTCTTCACCAAGTGCCTCCCGATATTTGTTGTGTGTGATAATATATTTGAACTTTTATTCGAACTCTCAACGTGTACTTTGTTTAAACATATTCTCATGGACATTATTGTTCATATAAGGTATGTTATCTATCATCGTGTCATTGTAGTCGTTTGTGTTCAAATTTTCTCATGTTTTCATACACTGAGTGGCTATTGCAATCTATGTGTTGTTATCAGAGGTACATCCTTATCAGACTAAGCTTTTGAAATCGGCTAGGCTTTTTCATTATTACCTATCCTACACCCTACACCCTACACCCATTTAGTGCAGTTCCATGTTATCTGCGGGTTCCGAGTCTCTTCCCCCCCCCCCCCCCCCCCCCCCTTTGCAAAACAGCCTTCCTGTTTCAAGGGTTTTTCTTTATAATTTGTGGTTCTCTAATCATTACTATAGATAATAACTTTCCACAAGTTATCCAATACCCTATCATTTTCTGCTTATATCTTCATTTATTCCTTTCTGAGTATGTAAGCACGGAAATTATTTGTACTCATTGTAAAAACTGATGACATCACACAAAATACGATTCGTTCAAATATCTTCAGTTCAATTTCAAATGGTTGAATTTTTCATTACATTCCACTATAGATTTTTGAAGTTGGTTAGATTTTTGCATACACATTCTACTTTTTAGCGCAGATCACATCCCACATCTGCTGGCCTTGCCGACTCTAGGCTCTCAATTTCAATGATGTTACTGTTATCATGAAAATATTACTTTCCTATGAAAACGACAAAGCTTTATGCACATTATGTTTTTGTCCCTACGTCATCTGTGTACTTTACTCTAACAATGTTTTTTGTCTTTTTCAATGTGATACCTGTGATACTAAATGAATCAGGATGGGCAGGATGGGCCGATCGGTGGAAACGTCCAATATTTGTTTCATGTATCAACCGGAATCTCCTCTCAACTGTATTTTGTGTATACGAGCCGTAACCTACGCTCAACTTATTAATGTTATGTTTAAATGTTTGACCGATGTTGACAATGTTGTTATTCATATATTTACTTGTACGTGTCTGTATATCTTATCTAATGCCATTTCCATCCTCTATCTGTAGACTTGTCAACCTGTCCATGTCACATGCAATTTACTGTCTACTTGACTTTCAATATTGTCGCTATTTCTAAAACACTTTTGGGCACAAAAGCTCCATGACGTTCAGGATTATTGTTAAAGTGCAAACCATTTCAATACTTTTTTTTAAAACTTCATTTATCTAAACTACCTTATTGTTTCAATACGTTTCCAAAGTGCACCGAAATTTTATCCCTTTTGTATGCAGCAAAAACTCGGCGTATCCCTGATATCCCTAATCATGAGCCTCCTCCAGGCAGGACCCTTAATCTTCGGCGCTATCATAAATCTGAATTAACACCTCCTCGCGTCGCCAGATCTTATGTATGTACACGTACGTTGGTCATTGACCTTGCCCCACTTTATGTAATACCTCTATCTACATCACCTGACTGATAAGGGCAATCAGGGATACGGGCTCAGGTCATCGACAGAAGCGGACGGATTGCGCGGCTAGTCGTGGCGTCGGCCAAAGCCGTCGACGATGAAGAATCGCTGCCCTACTTCCTGCTGTGTGTAAGTGACAGAGCGGTTCTCCGCACCCGGGAAACATTGGCTACTCGGTCCTGGTGTCCTTTCTGTCACGTTATTGTCAACCTGAACCCTTTCGACTTATTTCAACCCATCAACAATAAACATGGCTGCTGTCGTTTTTAAACTTCACCCCTGAGTTTTGTCTTTTGTCATAACCCTCAGCTACCATCCAATGGCGAAAACGTACGCTCTTGGACATATGGTGGAGCCATATCCGATAGCCTGAGTATGCTGTGACTCACGCACGATCCCCATACCCTAACTGGCAGCAAAGCAAATGGCAGCTCAGAGGTGATAGGGGACAAAAGAAGCGTCAATCCGGCCACCATCTTGGCAGGAAATTGAAGAAGACAGACAGCAGCCCAGTCTACTCGATCCTCAGCAATAATACAGCAGCCTAAAATCAGCAATCGTGACAGTCATCGACAACAACAGCCAGACCAAGCAATATTCTTGTAATCACGAGAGTACGACAATTTGCAACAATGCTACCAACATTCAAGATCAAGACCACCAACACCAAGCTACCATCTGTGGGCGAAAACGTACGTTCTTTGAAAAAACTATATCGGTGATATCAAGAACGAATACATAACCAACATGGTCAAGCAATCGAGGATTCGGGGTTCTGGTCTTCGTTACATCTGAACATTGATTGCTATCCGTTTATTTCCTGACTTTGATATTGTTCTATGAGAATAATTAGAGGGTTCGTCAGATCAGTTCTCAACTGGAATCGTTTTCGGTTTGCCAAGTGCCTCTTTCATCCTGCACAACTGCATTCTGTAATTGATCATTGACTCTTCAACTCTAATTATACCTTGATGCCTGGCCTGGCATAAGTTGACAGTGACTCGTGCTTATGCGTAAACTCGTCAATGTTCAGGGATGTTTACAATTTCAGTTAATCTGTCATGACATGACAGATTCATTATAGTAATATGAAAACATCGTGTGGTCCGTAACTTCTTTTGAATAATATAGTTGGGGGGGGGGGGGGGGGGGGGGGCGGGGGGGTAAACATTTCACAAGAGGCCATATTCAGTAAGATACACAACTTCAGAAATATATCATCAACCGCTAGCAAACGTTGAAAAATATGATTTAGGATAGAAATGGTCTTCGGTGACAGGGATTGTTAGTAAGGAGAATGCGTATTCAACAATTTACTATATACACATATACATATACTACTCGAAAAACGTTATTAGGACCACCCGATTCTTTCATATTACTATATGTCATGGCATGACAGATAAACTATAGTAATATGAAAGAATCAAGTGGCATGACGATCAACTACACTGCTATGAAAGAATGGGGTGGCATAACAGATCAACTTCAGTACTATGAAAGAATCGGGTGGTCCTTAATTTCGTCTGAGTAGTATATGTAGGGAAACTTCAGAAATAGAATGATGAACATATCGACAGTATTTTATGTTACCAACAACATTGGAGTCTTGGATAAAGCAGCTTTCCTTCCTCGTTTGCGAACATTCTATATCTCTAAATACCAGAAGGTGAAGAAGGTTAAACTTAAATCGGCGTCAGATGAAAGTATAACGAAAAGTCACTTTCAAATCCTTCTGTTATACAAAATGTGCTGTGTTAACGTTTGTTTATAGCACCCGTTTTATATCGACATTACCTTTCTTTATTGACTTTATAGTTTTAAACCCTTTTGTGAGAATACTGAATTCGAGAATTCAGACTGTAGCAACTCATTTTCCAAGACTTTCATTGCAAACACACATCTGGTTGATACCAAAAATGTCAAACACAAAATAAGCATTGATAACGAGTGTCGATAGTTTTAGACCTTTCGGTGAAAAGGACTTGACATTTTTTTTCTGTGAGCTCATAGATATAAAGAAAGAGATATTTTCTTGGCACTCATGATCACGTGGAATTCAAGATGCAGTAACCAAATATTAAAGAGGTTCCATGGCCTGTGTTTATTTCCAGTAAAGGTCTCGACATTGCAACGAGCATCCTTAGCGAAACTCGGACACTGGCTCTTTGTAACTGGCATTTACTGTACCATTTATTATTTAACATTCAAGCTGAATCAAGTCGAGTTGGCTGTGTTTGACTATGTGTTGAATCAAACTTCCTCGTTCTGACAGGTGGCCAATGTGCCTTCTCATGATTTCTTCCGTTGCACCGGCTTAACAGTTTGTGTGACTGGGCGTTTTTGGTTTAACAGCGTGCCCAGCACAATTCCAACGGCCTGTAATCCAATCTGTACCTGACAATACAGTGATTGACCATCCAGACCACTAATAGGAAAACTTCAAGCTTTTCAGTGTAGAGCCGTTTTATCAGAATATTTGATAGGCCTAAAATGAAAAGTGTAATTGACTTACGCTGTTTCCGGACAAACCCATTACAGCGAGTGACTGGGTAAGGCTTCTTTGAATAGCATTTCAAGTCCGCTTTATGCGGGGGGAAATCACAAAATGATGCCTTTACCACTTTGGTACCCACGAGTATGACAAGCCAAGAAATCAGGCAGAACGACAATTAAAAAACATGATCGTACATTAATGGTACATTTGAGGGGAGCAACTAAGCACTGGGATTTGGGGTGCCTCAGATGACTGGGCCACACACCAATAATGATCAGATCACCAGTAGCAAGATGGCAAGCAAGGTAAATAAATCATCATCAGTGACGTTGTGACGCCACATACTGACAGCTTTCATAACATGCATGGTTCCAGTGTACCATAGTTAATTATTCAACAACAAGAAACACTGACAATTTATTGGTCTTTTATTTATTTATATGAAAAACAGCTCATGCATTGTTCCATTCTCTCAAGCACATTTTTCACAACCACCAGTTTTCAATATTACATACAAAAGGTATTTCAAACAAAACACTACTATGGATTATTCTAGACAAAAAAAGAATATATCTTCCTCCAATCCAATATTCTGACTATTTCATCCTAATACTCCTAGGTTGTATTTCAAAGGAAGCCATGTCCTGGGAATGGAATGCTGAATTATTTCATGGAATCATATTTGATAGTTTTCTTCCAACAGAGACCGGACAGGACAATCATCATATTGCACTAATTAGGAACATGTAATTACTTGCTAATGACATATATTCATGATGATATATTCACCATTACAATGTACAAACTGTTATGAATAATTGCCATTGTTCAAATTTCATTTCCTACATTGATTTTTATATGAGAGAAAGTTATGTCCAAAAGCTCTTTGTCCCATATATATACATGGGTATTATTGACCATTATTTAAGTATAGTGTATTGACTATTGTTTAAGTAAAGAGTGCATATTTAGAAAACATAAAAGTACTGTAAAGTCTGTTTAAGAAATATATTAGATAACAAATATGACATGCAGCCATACTCATACCAACATAAGTTTGTACTAGAATAGGCATAAACAACAGGCTTCTAATTTATCCTTGATTACCAGTTATTAACAATTAAGAAGAAAAAATCATTCACTAATTTCTTTGAGATATTGTCCAAACATTAAATGTACTTCAAAACTTAAGTGTACAGCACTGATGGTAAAGAAAGTTTCTTGTGCACAACTATATCTTGGAAATGCTGATATGAGTGAGTTAAAATTTAATGCTGAATCAACATCGTTTCATCCACATAGAAACAGGAAATGATGAAGTTGGTAATATTTTATGCATGTACAACATTTGTGCCATATTCAGTACTGTATCGCATCTGAAACCTTTACCAGACCGCTTACAAGCATTTGTATATGAAAGATGTGACATATGAAAATGACACAGTATAAAGATAAGGATCATAGAAGCTACATTTACATTTAGGAAAGATATCTATGGCAAAATTCTAATGAAAATTGGAGAACTAGAAAAACACAGTTCCAGATAAATATTCAGAAAACATACTTAATTAAACATGTCATTCATTGAAGAAGTTCATATTTCATGACTGACTTCTATTATTAAGAGTCTGTACATTTCATCATATTTATCAAGTTTGAATCTGATATCAGGAGTCAAACCTGGTCATTCTATTTGACAAGCAAACACCCTAACCACTGTGCTATCACACAGCCACTCACATGATACTATTTACCATGACAGTCATATCATACAGTCTAGCCATCCATTACTACTGTCTTATAAACACGGGTCATATATTGTAAAAATATTGCTTCTCTTAGAGCATAAAAATATCAGTTTCTATCATGTCTATGCAACTGTCAATGAATCGATGACAGAATATACTTTATCAGAAATAAAAAAGTCATGAGAAAAGAGTAAAAAGACAAAAGAATTAAGAATCTAAATAATTTAAGTAACAATAATACTTCAAACAGCAATGTAGTTTGTTCATGTACACCACAGTTTGTGAATAAAACAAACTGTAATATATTGCTGTTACATATAGGAAATCAAATGGTAATTGAATGGATATTATTTCTAATGTCCCTTCAATAGATATGCAGAGTGAGAAGAAGAAACTATTCTCACAAAATCCATTACGTAGTTATCATGTGAAACAAAACATCAATAATAGTTAAAAATTATTCATACCTTAATTTTGAATAAACTACATCCTGAAAATGATAACATTTAGCAATGTTTCATTCGGAAAGATCATCATGAAATATCATGGCTACTTGGCATAACATACAACTGAGGCCATTCTGTATTGCTTGGTGTAAATATTGGTTGAAGTAAACTATATTTGTGTAAGTGATCACTTAAAGAATTGTTGTTGTGTGAATGAATGACAGGTCAAATGGTTACATCCACCTTTTGATTTATTTTTATGTGTATAAATTACTATAATAATAACCTGACAAAAGATGATTTCTGTCCACATTTGTGTCATTTGTTTAGCGTAACTATACATAAACCAAGTACTAATGAATACACCCAACATCGTTCTGGTGACAAATTGTCATATCATTACCTTGGAGTCAGTGAGTTGGGTTGAACTGTACTGAAGTAATATCCCAGTCTGTCAGCTGGATGTGGGAGGGTAGCCCAAAGTGATGCAGGTCTAAGACATTTACCACTTTGGTGAAACCCACAAGCATGGGTATGGTGCTGACAAACCATGAAACAATCAGAGGTTTCTTGCAAAAAGTCACACTGCATGTGTCAAGGAACACATTTTCCATTTTATACTTTAATCTCATTGAGGTAACAAATACCATTTCACATTAGGCAACAAACCAAGAAACCTTGTGAACTGCAATCAAGAACAATCAGTGAACATGACAAGAGTAATTACAATAACATAAGTCTTCTCACTAAATATTTTATCACTCTATGTGTATCTGTGGTTATATTTGAGCAAACACACCCTAATGGTTTTATCTTACAACAATTGGACCGTGTAGGTCAAAGGGAGACAACTCCAAGAAAACTGGCAACTGTAAGGCTAATTCTGGGTATCCCCAAACGAACCACTGTGGTCTCACTATCACAATTACATCAGAATTAACTTAACATTCATATTCATGAATACAGAATAATTTGATTGTACAGATATATGAAACAACGTTTTTAAATCACACTAAGAGATTGAATTTAGTCGAATATATGACATACATAAAGATCCGTTTTGGGGAAAGTACTCTGATGTTAAAGTTCATAATAGGGGATACCCATGAATGTTACTCCTCCTCCAACTCCATTGAGACACCTGATGTATTCTTTCATCGTATCACAGGTAGACTTGATACAAATCTTATGACATTTGTGAGATCTAAAATGTTCAATATAGGTATTCTAAAATTAGTAATCTGAATCAAACTGCCATTCACATTAAACCCATGGCAACTATGTGCAATATGTATAAGTAAAAATAACAATGATATGAGAAAACTAAAATCACAACCTTGATGAGTGACTCAATGGTTATTTACAAATGTGTATGAGATGTCATGTATTCAGTGTTGTAGTACTGAAGACATGCATGACTGTTCAGGATACACACATCCTCAGGTGTGTCCAAGCAACAAATCTCCTAGCAACTGTTTCCTGGCAACTTCCTTGGTCCTACTTTTGCAACATGAACTGGTCGGAATGATGATGTCCTCTGAATGAGTATACACAAAGATGGCTAGATATTTACAGGAGGCACCGATGGTTCGTCTATCATGTATGGATTTGCATACACTCATCGTGAGAGTTAGTATCCACATAGCATATGACATTTTCTCCACACATGCTAAGATGATTGTGTTGCCCATTGTCTCAGAATTAATCCCTACATCAGGGTCTGAGCTTTTATTCACACATGCTCTTTGAATAGGTTGCAAATTGGACTGTTATCTGAGATATGGTCCATTCATATCCTTCTGATTAGTGTCCATTTGTCTTCTCAACTATCGTTCACATATATCCCTCAAAATTGTGTCCATGTATCTTCTGAGATATCTTCCATGCATCGTTTAAGATGTTATCTTTGATGTCTCAGAATCTTCTGACAGGTAGTCAATCACTCATACCTCACTGTCTTCATCAAGCGCACAGTAGTCTCATACTGACATAAGAACTCACTCATTTTATATAAGTTTTTGACATTTGCTTTAAGCTTCAATTCCTAGGGAATCATTTCTAATGACTTCTCGTTCACTCTGTACAACTGTAACAAACTCCCAGTTATCCTACCTTGTGACTCAACAACACACAACATGACTGTATTCTGCATCAGTCCACTCAAATGTGTACTTGACATAGCCATAACACAAACACACTCAGACTCTACCAGCACCATCTCGGTAGCATCGGTCCTCCCCACATTATTTGGGACTGGCTTTGATCATTTGGCTTTGTGAAGCACACATCTACATATATACATACACAAGTGTTAAAGAAGAAAGGTCTTCGTCATACAAATGATGAGAATCCTGTAACAGGCGCACGTGACCCAGCACGGTTGCTGAGCAAGTCCCTGTCTCTGAGAACATGTCCACCTTGTAAACTTATGCCATAATGGCTGCTCTCAGCTTCACTGTCAGTATATGCATAAGCATTGGAATTGGTGGGGTATTTCCAGGACTGCCGCACATCATTGTTGACGTAATGGGCGCCACCAAATGGCGGTGGGGGAGGAGAAGATGGACTCTTCTCGCTGTCATCAAACTCGCTGTCATCATCCGATGGCTTGAAGAAGAAACACATATTATATAATTTCAAAAATATTGAAAACATCCAGAAATTACTCTCTTTCTTTCCCACCTGAAGAACAAAGCCAACATACTGGGTGCAAATTCATTTCTTCAAAATTCATTTATTTCAATTTAAAAAATTTCTAGGCCCTAAAACTATTAAGGGCATTTAGATAATTTTTTGTGTCAACATATATAATGTGTCATGTTTTCAAAAACAGATTCCCAACTTCATTTTAGATAATAAAATACTCACTTCATCAGAATCCTCAAAATCTGACGGCTTCTCTGTGATGCTGCTGCAGTCATCATCAGGAAGAGGAGCCTTAGCAACAGCATCATCATCGGAGTATGTCACACTGGCAGGGCTAGGCCGCGGCGGCGATCTGGAACAGTCAGACTTCCGTGCAATATCATCCATGGTGAGTGTTTGATTGATCATGGTTTAACGCCAATTTGAACAGTATTTCAGTCATATCACAGTGTGTCCAAAGTGATTCAGATCTTAGATGCTTACCACTTTGGCGAAACCCACGAGTAAGTTGCTGACAAACCTACAAACATAATCAGGGCAAACCAGGATTCAAACCCACAATGATAGGTTCAGGCAGACCTAAGAAGGGACACAACTCTGACTTAGACAACTGGGTCATCTGTGCACCCTATATCATCCAAGGAAAATATATCTTTTCATTTGCTGTCAAACTTTTTACAACCATAATTATCAAGAAACATGTAATCGGTAGTGAATGAGGAAATGACATTGTTTTACACTTTGTCAGCTCTACCAAACTATTCCAAGGTGGCCTGTAAAAAGCGAGTCTGTTGAAATGGATGACGCTTAAACAAACAGGTCATGCAAAATGACCAGTCAGTCATCCTTTTGTCTTTTATGATAAGCATTGCATATCTGGAAATATTTCTGCCCCCAAATCCCCATGGGCTGTCTGTAATTAAGACAAACTTAGCTATGTCCATCAGGCATTCACACTTACCTTGCATAGATATTCTTGGCAGTGCCATTTCTGAGGTGCAAGCTGCGCCTTGAAACTGGTTGAGTCAATTCCATCGAGGGAAAGCCTCCATCTTCTGGCTCCGCTGGCTCTGACATCACAGTGGTTGAGGTGGCAGAGCGCTTCATCTTGTCTAGAGGCAGGACAGACATGTTGCAAAATAAGCATCAACACTAGTTTACTGGAATGTTTTAAAGTCCGAAGGATGTGTGACTTAAACACTTCTAGTTTCTTTGTAAGTTATATTTGATACATGTGCAAACAAATTAGAAACTTCTCACATAAACAAAAAATGAGACCTAACCATCATATTTGCCACCTCACCACTATTTTTGTCACCTAACACTCACGTTGGGCACCCATGCTACACATCCATAGTGGTCGCCTTACACCGATACTCTTCACCTTACACCACAGTGGTCACCTGACACCCATAATTGTCACCTTACACCCATAATTGTCATCTTACACCCACAGTGGTCACCTGACACCCATATTTGTCACCTTACACCAACAGTGGTCACCTGGCAACCATATTTGTCACCTTACACCCACAGTGGTCACCTAACACCCACATTTGTCACCTTACACCAACAGTGGTCACCTGGCAACCATATTTGTCACCTTACACTCACAGTGGTCACCTAACACCCATATTTGTCACCTTACACCCACAGTGGTCACCTGACACCCATAATTGTCACCTTACACACATAATTGTCATCTTACACCAATAATTGTCATCTTACATCCACAGTGGGCACCTGACATACATACTGGTAATTTTACACCCATATTTGTCACCTGACACCGATATTTGTCACCTTACACCCATAATTGTCATCTTACACCCATAATTGTCATCTTACACCAATAATTGTCATCTTACACCATGGTGGTCACCTTCCACCCATAATTGTCCCCTTACACCCATAATTGTCACCTGACACCCATATTTGTCATCTGACACCCATATTTGTCACCTTACACCCATAATTGTCATCTTACACCCATAATTGTCATCTTACACCCACAGTAGTCACCTTACACCCATAATTGTCACCTTACACCAATAATTGTCACCTTACACCCATAATTGTCATCTTACACCCACAGTAGTCAACTTACACCCATAATTGTCACCTTACACCAATATTTGTCACCTTTCACCCATAATTGTCACCTTACACCCATAATTGTCATCTTACACCCACAGTAGTCACCTTACACCCATAATTGTCACCTTACACCCATATTTGTTACCTTACACCAATATTTGTCACCTTTCACCCATAATTGTCACCTTACACCCATAATTGTCATCTTACACCCACAGTAGTCACCTTACACCCATAATTGTCACCTTACACCCATATTTGTTACCTTACACCCATATTTGTCACCTTACACCCATAATTGTCATCTTACACCCATAATTGTCATCTTACACCCACAGTAGTTTACTTACACCCATAATTGTCACCTTACACCCATATTTGTTACCTTACACCCATATTTGTCACCTTACACCCATAATTGTCACCTTACACCCATAATTGTCATCTTACATCCACAGTAGTCAACTTACACCCATAATTGTCACCCTACACCCATATTTGTCACCTTTCACCCATAATTGTCACCTTACACCCATATTTGTCACCTTACACCCATAATTGTCATCTTACACCCACAGTAGTCACCTTACACCCATAATTGTCACCTTACACCCATATTTGTCACCTTACACCCATATTTGTCACCTTACACCCATAATTGTCATCTTACACCCCCAGTAGTCAACTTACACCCATAATTGTCACCTTACACCCATATTTGTCACCTTACACCCATAATTGTCACCTTACACTCATATTTGTCACCTTACACACATATTTGTCACCTTACACCCATAATTGTCACCTTACACCCATAATTGTCATCTTACACCCACAGTAGTCAACTTACACCCATAATTGTCACCTTACACCCATATTTGTCACCTTACACCCATAATTGTCATATTACACCCACAGTAGTCACCTTACACCCATATTTGTCACCTTACACCCAAAGTGGTCACCTTACACCCATATTTGTTACCTTACACCCATATTTGTCACCTTACACCCACAATGGTCACCCTACACCCATATTTTTTTACCTTACACCAACAGTGGTCACCTTACACCCATAATTGTCACCTTACACCCATATTTGTTACCTTACACCCATATTTGTCACCTTACACCCATAATTGTCACCTTACACCCATAATTGTCATCTTACACCCACAGTAGTCAACTTACACCCATAATTGTCACCTTACACCCATATTTGTCACCCTTCACCCATAATTGTCACCTTACACCCATATTTGTCACCTTACACCCATAATTGTCATCTTACACCCACAGTAGTCACCTTACACCCATAATTGTCACCTTACACCCATATTTGTCACCTTACACCCATAATTGTCATCTTACACACATATTTGTCACCTTACACCCATATTTGTCACCTTACACCAATATTTGTCACCTTACACCCATAATTGTCATCTTACACCCACAGTGGTCACCTGACACACATATTTGTCACCTTACACCCATATTTGTCACCTTACACCCATATTTGTCACCTTACACCCACAGTGGTCACCTTACACCCATATTTGTCACCTTACACCCATATTTGTCACCTTACACCCATAATTGTCATCTTGCACCCACAGTGGTCACCTGACACACATATTTGTCACCTTACACCCATATTTGTCACCTTACACCCATATTTGTTACCTTACACCCATATTTGTCACCTTACACCCACAGTGGTCACCTTACACCCATATTTGTCACCTTACACCCATATTTGTCACCTTACACCCACAGTGGTCACCTTACACCCATATTTGTCACCTTACACCCATATTTGTCACCTTACACCCATAATTGTCATCTTACACCCACAGTGGTCACCTGACACACATATTTGTCACCTTACACCCATATCTGTCACCAGTCTCAATTAGCCACCAACATAGATTCCAATGGGCTTAAAAAGCAAAATAGGTATGAACATTCTATGAATGGATCACTGAAAATCAGTGTGACACTAGGTGTTCGCAAAAACCTATACCCATACAGGTCACGATACTGGTACACGAGAATGAAGTCAAGATCTATAGAGTCCTGGATCCCAATGCTATTTTCTTACCTTTGGAGTTCTTCCTTCGTCCAATGAGGCAAAGCAAAGAGATGATGACGAGGATGACGATGACCCCAGTCAGGGCAATGATGACCAGGAACCACCACTCGGAGTGGAAGGGTTTACCTACTGCTGCCACAGCTGGGGACGAAGAACAGCATGTCACAATCAAGTATACGACAATTCCCAGCCCATGTCAGGGGCTAGTTTATGGCATGGATAACTACTGCTGTGAAACAAACACCAGAAAGGAGCACATACTGAAATTGCTTACTGCTTATCACAATTATTACTGTGGAACATGTATGTTTATCATAGTATCTGCACAGGTGTTCATATAATTAATCAAATCATGACATATGCATGGTGATCGTTCAACTGCACTTTACATGATTGCAATAACAATGATATCTTCTATTATCTGTAACTATTATTTCAATGCATCTATTTGGGCAAGTGGATAAACATATTACATCTTCAATATTGTTGTTAAGACTGACAAAGATCACTGCAGTATCTCATCAATTTGATCAATTCCTTGTTAGACTTCTACAACTATGGCAGATGGTGTGCAGGAGCTGCTTGTGCATATAAAAAAGAATGAGTGCAAACTACACTAGACTCACACATGTTAACAATAAGTAGTTTTTGTGCCACAGCATTTAGATCTAGCCAATCACTTCCATGTCTAAGTAGGTCAGGAAACATGTTTTGCCACTTAATTATTTTACTAATCAATGGAAATTGGAGCCATTTGGCAACTTACATGTACCAGTGTGCATTACTGAACTTAGTAAAATGGTGTAACAAAAGGATGAATGGAAACTACTCTCACATGAACTCTCAGAATCTTTAAAACAGATATATTACAAGTACATCACATCAGTTACCAACATCAAGCCATGCATTCTTGATACCTAGGCATAATAATGATACCCATAATAATAAATTGAAAAACTAGCAAAATTTAAGTTTTAAGTTTTGATTTAACAAAACTTATGCTGCACACTTTCTTAAATGCATGTTAAGTGAATGCATATCACATATAGTCCTAACTTCTTCTCATTCAGACAGATAATTATTATTTATATTCAAGCTTGAATGACAATTTGCACACTTATCATTTTGCAACAATAGTCACAACAAAGCAAAACAACAAAACTTCCCTTGATATGTAATTTGTATATACATTGTATCAATATTTCTTAAACAGTAGAAACTTGACATTACAAAGTGTATAAAGTACAACAATCGAGCAGCACCAGATACAGCCTACACATATTAGTAAGTCGATATCTATGGTGTGTGAGACGATGCTGCGAATTAGTAGTGTTACAGCAATACACAACTGTACTGAATAACCAATATTATGAATAAATGTAAAAGGCATTAGGCATACATTTATCATTAACTGAGTTACAAACTTTTAAAGTTTTAAATTCCGTTCGTTTGTTCATTCGTTTATTTGTTCAATTGTTCGTTCAATCGTTCATTCATTCTGAAATGACTTGACTGCATAATGGCGGAAGGTCATTCAAAATACACTTTACTGTATAATATATCTCAGTCTACCTCAACATACAATTTAGATCGGAAGCATTAAAGTATATAATCCAAGTCAAAGATTTGTTTGCTGTTAACAAATTAAACAAATGTTAATCTTACTGTCTCAAGGATATTGATAGAACAGACAGATACCGAACAAACTCAATCAGGACAAAGCCATGCAGAAACCTAGGTCCTCTCACACGTGCAGTAGGGATGAAAGTAAATCAAATTTTTTTGGTGCAAGCTGAGACATTAAATATTACATAATACACAGAAAGTTATCTCAAACTTTACAGACATACTTTGATAACAAGCTAGTGATTGTTTTTTTACAGCTATAAATGTGGCCTTGAAATTGACAAAGCAAACCAGTGGTTGACGGCATGAGGGGTGACCAATATCAATGGGGTGAAATAATCAACTAAGTCACACTAAAGCAAGCATGGGACTTAGTCGGCCCAGAATGGCCACAGGGAGACCAGTGTACTGGGAACCTGTCCTGGATCAGCCACAGGGAGACCAGTGTACTGGGATCAGCCACAGGGAGACCAGTTTACTAAGATGAGCCACAGGTAGACCAGTGTACTGGGATCAGCCACAGGGAGACCAGTGTACTGGGATGAGCCACAGGTAGACCAGTGTACTGGGATCAGCCACAGGGAGACCAGTGTACTGAGAATTTGTCCTGGATCCGCCACAGGGATACCAGTGTACTGGGATCAGCCACAGGGAGACCAGTGTACTGGGATCAGCCACAGGGAGACCAGTGTACTGGGATCAGCCACAGGGAGACCAGTGTACTGGGATCAGCCACAGGGAGACCAGTGTACTGGGATCAGCCACAGGGAGACCTGTGTACTGGGAACTTGTCCTGGATCCGCCACATGGAGACCAGTATACTGGGAATTTGTCCTGGATCTGCCACAGGGAGACCAACGTACTGGGAACTTGTCCTGGATCTGCCACAGGGAGACCAGTGTACTGGGATTGGCCACAGGGAGACCAGTGTACTGGGAACTTGTCCTGGATCTGCCACAGGGATACCAGTGTACTGGGATCAGCCACAGGGAGACCAGTGTACTGGGATTGGCCACAGGGAGACCAGTGTACTGGGAACTTGTCCTGGATCAGCCACAGGGAGACCAGTGTACTGGGATCAGCCACAGGGAGACCAGTGTACTGGGATCAGCCACAGGGAGACAAGTGTACTGGGAACCTGCCACAGGGAGACCAGTGTACTGGGATTGGCCACAGGGAGACCAGTGTACTGGGAACTTGTCCTGGATCAGCCACAGGGAGACCAGTGTACTGGGATCAGCCACAGGGAGACCAGTGTACTGGGATCAGCCACAGGGAGACCAGTGTACTGGGAACCTGCCACAGGGAGACCAGTGTACTGGGATTGGCCACAGGGAGACCAGTGTACTGGGAAGTTGTCCTGGATCAGCCACAGGGAGACCAGTATACTGGGATCAGCCACAGGGAGACGAGTGTACTGGGAACCTGTCCTGGATCAGCCACAGGGAGACCTGTGTACTGGGATCAGCCACAGGGAGACCAGTGTACTGGGATCAGCCACAGGGAGACCAGTGTACTGGGATCAGCCACAGGGAGACCAGTGTACTGGGAACCTGCCACAGGGAGACCAGTGTACTGGGATTGGCCACAGGGAGACCAGTGTACTGGGAAGTTGTCCTGGATCAGCCACAGGGAGACCAGTGTACTGGGATCAGCCACAGGGAGACCAGTGTACTGGGAACCTGTCCTGGATCAGCCACAGGGAGACCTGTGTACTGGGATCAGCCACAGGGAGACCAGTATACTGGGAACCTGTCCTGGATCAGCCACAGGGAGACCAGTGTACTGGGAACCTGCCACAGGGATCCAAGGATAAAATACTGGGGGTCTATCCTGGAATTTCCATATTTCCACAAGGATCTACTTTAATAGGTAAGACAGGTAAGTAGGGAAGGTGTCTGAGCAAGCTCCTGGAGCCAGCCTACCTTCACACAAGTTGCTCGTGAAGAAATCTACCTCTTTCATCCCTAATGTGCATATACACACATAAATGCCAAACAGAATTTCACAGAAAAAGAAAGAGGAGTCACTAATACTGTGTTGGAAAACTCACAACTCTGATCTGGAAATTAAACAAATTCTCAAAATCAGTTAGTGAATGGGTCAGTGTGAGGGGAAGGTTAGGATGGCCAGAATAGACAATCAGAGATGGCTGGGAGAAACAGACTGGTATCTGCCATTTGTGAACTTGGAGACAACTGTTCAAAGGAGTAAATTCAGTTCACTTCAAACAATATTTCAGTTACATTATAGTGTATCAGCATTTTGTGATGCTTCCAAAGATGTTTGCCACTTTGGTAAAACCAAATAGTGCTGAGAGACATACAATAAAAATATCTGTAGCATGTAAATTTTATTACACAGATGCTTAATTTCATATTTAACTTTGAAAGTAGGTATGGAATTTGAATCAATGTCAATCAACTAACAATTGAAAATCCTTGAATGAATACTGATAGTAACTTTAAAGTTGTATTAAACTGATGTCAGATACCAGAGTGAACTGAATCTGGGAGGTACAAAACAGTGAAGAGCAACGATCCCCACTAGCCCAACGGGAGACATGAAGAGAGTACATCAACCTATTCTGCACCTGAATTCCAAAAGGGAGAAACATATAGGGGAACTATTTAGCCTTGGCATTCCCACAGGCAATGTATTCTGGAAATCTCCATAGAAGTAAACATCAGAGACAAAATTATGAGGACTCACCTGGGCCAGGGGTGCGCCTCAGGGCAGAGGGTTCACTGGGGGGGCTGATTCCATCAGAGTTGATGGCGATGATGCGGAATGTGTACTCTGTGTTGGGGGTGAGGCTCTGGAAGCTTACTTTGGCCGTAGATTCTCTGGAGTTCTTCTGCATGATTGTACTGTACTTCTCCTTACCTTCAAACAAAATTATTAAGATATAAATGTTTCCATACCAGTTTGTGCATTCACTATAAACATGGGTCAGATGTAAGTCCAATATTACAAGAGCATAAACCACATGTGTGTCTGGGTCTATGAGTGTACATTCACGGAACAGGATCATTGCTATGATTAACTACCTTTTGTGTTCCTTACACTGTTTACTGTTGTGCCGAAAACCTGTCTCATAATTTATCACATTAATTTTCAAAATTAACTGCATTTGTATAGAACATACATAGAATTCAACCAAATTTTGCCTTCAGCTACCAAATGTACACTATGCATCATGGTCATCAACATCAGCTGCTTCAGCACCTGTCAATTCAAACATGTAAAGCTAATGCAACATAGTGTACATCCACTGGGTACCTACTTTCTGCTTTGGCTTGAATCATGTATCCATATATGGCCGTGTTGCCTTCAGCCCCATTGACCCATGACAGGATGACCAATTTCTCCTTCTCCTCCAAAGTGGGAGCACTCGGGGACCCCGGGGAACCTGGAGGGCAGCAAGGATGCACATTTAGTTTGGACAATATCATGCACAGACAAGGCCAAGACTGGTCCTCATTCTGGTGCCCACATCAGTAAAACACTCCAGCACATGGTATATTCATATTCACAATACATTCTGAGGCTCCTTTGGCTCAAGTGTACATCTTCTTAAGTTGCTGTGGATTGGATTGTCTGTGTTTTACGGCAAGGCAAGTAGCATTGACGATAGGGGTGCGGCATCAATTCACATAAAATTATAACATGATGTGGGAGTTGCTTCATTTACGAAAGCATTTGTTACATCTTGCTAAGCAGTTGATTCATTTCACTGGCAATTTGTTCAAAGAAGGTGATGTGTCCAGCACAAGACTACCCCACACCTTCCACTGGATGAGATTGTCTGAAGACGGTGATGTGCTTTAAGGCAACACTACCCCACACCTTCCGCTGGATGAGATTGTCTGAAGACGTTGACGTGCTTTAAGGCAACACTACCCCACACCTTGCAATAGATGAGTTTATCAAAAGGAGGTGATGTTCGTTAAGGCAACACTACCCCACACCTTGCAATAGATGAGTTTATCAAAAGGAGGTGATGTTCGTTAAGGCAACACTACCCCACACCTTGCAAAAGATGAGTTTATCAAAAGGAGGTGATGTTCGTTAAGGCAACACTACCCCACACCTTGCAAAAGATGAGTTTATCAAAAGGAGGTGATGTTCGTTAAGGCAACACTACCCCACACCTTGCAATAGATTAGTTTGTCCAAAGAAACTGTCCCCCTTCAAGAGTGGCTTACCTGGCTGAGGCCCTGTGCTGACAGTGCCGTTGGTCTTGCTGCCAGTACCCTTGGCGGTCCTGGCACTGACTTGGAAGGTGTAGCTGCTGTTCTCCTCTAGGCTGTCTATGGTGATGTGGTGCTGACTGCCATCCAGGGTCAGCTTCACCAGCTTCGTTTCTATTTGAGTAAGAGGGTAGAGAGGTCGAGGTCAAAGTTATCTAGGCATAATGTCACAAACAGGTTGTATCAGTTACACTAAAATAGGATGAAATGTTGGCAGTTCTGGCTGTAAATGTCCCTTTTAAGTTTTAATTCATTCATTTTTGGACATATTTAAAAGCAACTTTACACCAAAAAATGCATAAATCACTTCTGCTTAATATTTGTACAAGAAAATGGTAACAACTTCTGAACCATGTAATTTGTTTCCAATGCCTACCACTATGCATGATACACCAAACAAATCAAGGCACATTCAACAGTTGGGTGGTAATAATGTTTCACACCATTATTATAGATATTCAAGCAATATCATGGTCAGGAAACCAGGATCCAATGTCACACATTGTTACCATGTTGGAATCAAACTCAAGTCTTCAGGGTGACAAATAGATGCTTCAAGTCAATGGCTACCATGTAGAAGGAAGAGCAGTTCTTACCTCCATCTACTTTCTGTAGGAAGTAGACCAGTTCATAGTTGAAAATGACACCGTTGGGGCGAGCTGGTGGGGACCACTTCACCGTCATCTTTGTCAGGGTGATGTTGGTAAACATCAGTGCACCTGGTGGACCTGGAACTGCAAACAAAAGGAGTGTTAATAAAAACTGCATTAAAAAAATATCTGTACTTCATTAAAAATTACCTACAGATTTTGAATGTCTGCTGGGTACAATCACAGGTTCAGAGACACATTCACATGAAAACCTTTTATCTCCAATTAAACCCATAGAAATACCAATTCTTATATGACATCATACTTGTATTTTAGTATTATAAGTATTGGCTTATGATGATGAATCTAATGACATCATGACATATGTTGTTTGATTGGTGTTTAACGCCGCACTCAGCAATATTCCAGCTATATTACGGCGGTCTGTAAAAAAATGAGTCTGGACCAGACAATTCAGTGATTGTCATCATGAGCATCAATCTACACAATTAAGATATGATGACATGCATCAACCAAGGCACCAAGCCTGACCACCAATTCTAACCCAGAATATGACATATGTTAGTGACATACTTCCTTCCAGTGTCCTGCCCCTGAATACGGAGGTCTTGGGCCCCTCGCCGGCCAGGTTGTAGGCCTGTACTGTCATGTAGTAGGTGGAGAATGTCTCCAGGCTGGTCAGCTCCGCCCTGCTCTCCACCACAATGATCTGCTCCGCATCAGATGGCAGAGTCCCATTCAGCCAGTACAACACCTGCACACAGAATTACCAAGTGAGTTGGGATAATGCGTGTTTAAAAAGTATCTCAATATATAACAGCAATAATCTGGATATCACTAGAGCTTGAGTTAACTGGACATTGAGCTGACTTGACGGAGGGCAGGAAAAATGTCTTATCCCTATTAATGGTGTTCCCAGTTTACAACCTTTCATCACAACCATTTATTGTAGTGAGCCTGTTACGCACCTGCTCTGCAAAAACAAACATGGAACTGTACTGAAATATCCCTAGCTGACCTGATACTGTGTATCATTGGTGGGAACATTGCCAAGGAGAATACATTACAATAGAAGGCATTAACTTTGTAGCTGCACTAATATATACAGAAGGAAAACAATAAGTGAACAATGAAAAATATAAGGACATAAGCTTTAATGTCAGTACATTTGAAATAGCGAGCATGCAAATTCAACATGTTAGAATCAAATGTTGAGATGTGTTTGTGTTTCCAACACGTATTTGGTGGACAAGGATGCATATCAGTTTACTGTGTTCAAAACTAAGTGTTCCCTTATTCATTTCCTTCAGTATATAATCATGTTATCAATACATGATACCTTATAACCAGAGAGACCTCCATTTTGTGTGTTGGGAGGTGGAGGGTTCCAAGACACGACAAGCACCGAGGGGCTCTGGGCAGCGACCTGCTCATTTGAGGGGGGTGCTGTCGGTGCTGTAATACATACATCATACAGTGTAATTGTTGGCCTGAATAGGAATTCATGGCTATGACGTAATAGAGGAAGGGTATTTCAAGGATTATATACAGCATACACAGCCATAGAGGATGGCAGAGCCGAAATGTCTGAAGTCTCCAGTACATTGAGGAAGGAACAAGATTTCCTTGACAAGACATGCGAAACTTTGGAGTCTGTAGCCTTAATTTTTTGCTTATTTTTTCTTGTTTAACTGTCCACTCAGCAATATTCAAGCTATATGACAGCAACCACAGTCAACCAAGTCACCAAGCCTGACTACCCAATCCACTGGACATATCCACCAGCAAGGGTTGCTGGGGACCTGTTCTCACCCAGGATCCCCATTGGGCCTTATATTTTCTTCCAGCAATAAAAGCACATGTTTTTAGGCTTACTATATCAACCTTTTTAAAGCTGACTTTACCAGACCAAAACACATCTTCTTTGACTCAGATTTATATTCAGTTTACTGTCTCAATAGCTTATCATTACAAATACCCCATCTCCTCAGGGCACACAACGTAATTTTGCTTTAGAATACCTATCAAGTAACTAGCTGACGACCCATCAGCTCCATTCCTCCATTTGAAAGTCACATATAGACACAAAAACATGAACACATAATACATACACATATTTAAAATGAAACTTGTGTCTTTGTATTCTTGAAATACACATTCACATTATAAAGTAACTTTACAGTTTATCTTTTAGAACATTAATTTCACACTTCATGATATCAAGTACTGCCCAAAGCCTATTCTTGGTCAGGCCTCGACATATACTGATAGGTTGGGCTCAACACCATTTCTAACAGTATTTCAATTGTATCATGTTGTGTCATCATAATGTGGGAGGAAATCCCGAAGGTCATATAAGTTTCCCTTTTTTCGGTGCTTACAGACCAGGAATCATAATCAGAGCAAGTCTTGGACTCAAACTCATGATTAGCAGATCCCGACAGCTAAGAGGGATAACTCTGTATAGCAAGTTGTAGGCCAGTGGGTCACTCAAGGTAACAGAGATAAGAAATATGATCCATCACTGAAACTAAGATTTGAACGTGCACACAATACAGACATATGCAAATAAATGTGCATGCACTGTCTGGAAAAGAAGATTGGTGATATGTTGTGATTGTGATGTGAAATAATGACACATCATAACAAGAGAGAAAAGAAAAATTAGCAGAGCATAGGTGTTTAAAACGGATCATGCAACGGCCATAGCTTCAACGATTACTTTCTATTTCCACAAAACATAACATAACATTAAAGTCACAGATACCATCGCAGTTAAACTGTACAATTTTTTTTTTTTTCATTAAATTCAAAGTGATTTTGTATATAATAGTGTTGCAAAACAACATTACAGTGTCGACTTCCTGTTACAGTGACTACAGGCAGGACAGTATGAATGAAGCATTACACAGATCTTACCCGCTTCTCCAACGTATATTGTCGCGGGGGTACTAGGAGGGCCCTGACCTATTCCGTTGAAGGCCAGGATTCGCACTTCATAGTGCATCGACACAATGAGATTCTGGAGAAGTATACTATTTTGTTCAAATGGTACCGACTCCTCCTGATAGTCTGGGAGTTGGAGCTGGCGGTACTGGATATTATAGCCTACAATCTGGCCGTTCCACGTGTTCCGTTCAGGTTGCTGGACAACAAAAAAAGCAGTGTGGGTACACACGTCACATGACAACACCTAGCAAGGACCAGATACATGATAGACAACAGCAGAGACGGAGGGTGGCCGTCCTAGATGGCGCAATCCTGTGTGATTCCACATCTTGGTTTCTTGCATCTTTTTTTGTTAATTTCTTTCTTATTAATATTTCTTTATCAATTAAAAATGTCATTCCATCCGTCTAAAACAAACAAGGGGTGGACAAATGTATTTCTAAAAAATGAATAATTCATTTTTAAAAACCGTTGGAATAAATTTGAGTAAACTGGACAACTTGACACACAATCCATGGGAGAAGACATGAAATTGGTTCTGTGTTGGGGTTGCAAATACTCATTAAGAATAACAGTGCCCATTTCCAGTCTTGGTCTCCAACTTGGGTCTAGATGTTGTTGAAAGTGCCCTGTGTGAAACTGAGACACTGATTGTGTAATTAGGATAACCAATAACAGCTAGGTTGAGAAAAATTAAACAACTTGACTTTGCAGACAAAATGGGTTTTGAATATCTTGATCAAAACGTGGGACGTCTTGCCCCGTCATCTCCCCCATTAAACATTCCCTTCATTGGCATACACAATAGTAAACATGCATCTACCCCCTCTGTGTTATACTGATGAAATAGATTTCAAAGTCGCACTTTTTACAAAACTTGGATACAGTTGCTCTGGGGGTTTCTTCAAAAGCATATTATCATATCTATGCCCTACCAAAATGGACCCAAAAATATTATATTTTTGTTTTGATTTCAAACTACATCATCATATCCTCATGACCTCAGGTGTCAAGTTTACAAATATATGTGTATGTTCATGCAAAATGTCACCAAATGCACAACTGTTACTTAAATTAAAAAAAAGGCTTCATACATTTCACAAAAGATACCAACAACAAGAATGTTCACAACAAGCTCATGCGTCAACTACGACGGCCATGTTCACACTATACTCATGCAGATCTGGCCATACCAAGTTCAAGGATAATGAACTCGCTCTTCCCCCATGGGCCACTGCCATTTGAATTAAGGGCCTGGACAGCAAGCTCAAAGGTATATCCACGAACCAAGTCCTCGATAATTATAAACTTTCCCTTCACAAAACGGAAACTCCAAATCCTAGCTGAACGAGTTTTGTATCGGAGCCTGTACTCTATTTCCAAACTGTTCCAAGTAACTTCCTTTGGCGGCTTGGAAATACAATAGGTTAATTTGAAAACATTATCTATGGCATATTAAGCTAACATCTATAGGATAATGTGTTGCTGTAACAGAAACATAATATTACTTTTTCAAGTTGACGAAACATTAATGAACTTAAATAAAGGTTCATACAGATATAGAACACTAATATACAAGGCCTTAACAAGGCGTTCAACTGTCATATTCAAGGCTTTTTCACTTGGGTTATTAGATTTAGTCTGCCAATATTTTATTGAATCAAGGAAACTATATATTAGTCATGAGAGGCAAGCACTAAATTCTGTGCTATATCCACATGGAATGCTGCACATATGTAGAGTTTGATGTGGTGTAATGAACAAGGGTTGTTCTATTACATTAGAGACCATATTTTATAATGTGATGGATTAGAGGGTAAATGGTCAAGGGTGAGCTGGACAATCCGGTGGATGATAGATGGCATGAGCAATGATCCACAGGGAATGATGACACATGGTTTGTCTCAACATGCACTGTGTCCATCTAATCCACATTTCAATCAGCTTTTACAAGAAGTACAGGGCATACTGGAGACACATTCTATCCCAGAATATCCATGGGAGACACATTCTGTCCCAGAATATCCATGGCAGACACATTCTGCCCAAGAATATCCATGGCAGACACATTCTATTCCAGAATATCCATGGCAGACACATTCTGCCCCAGAATATCCATGGAACATACTGGAGAACCATTCTGCCCAAGAATATCTATGGCCGATACATTCTGCCCCAGAATATCCATGGAACATACTGGAGAACCATTCTTCCCCAGAATATCCATGGAACATACTGGAGAACCATTCTGCCCAAGAATATCCATGGCAGACACATTCAGCCCCAGAATATCCATGGAACATACTGGAGAACCATTCTGCCCCAGAATATCCATGGCAGACACATTTTGCCCAAGAATATCCATGGTATATACTGGAGAACCATTCTGCCCAAGAATATCCATGGGAGACACATTCAGCCGAAGAATATCCATGGAACATACTGGAGATCCATTCTGCCCAAGAATATCCATGGGAGACACATTCTGACCCAGAATATCCATGGCAGACACATTCTGCCCAAGAATATCCATGAAACATACTGGAGAACCATTCTGCCCCAGAATATCCATGGCAGACACATTCTATCCCAGAATATCCATGGAACATACTGGAGAACCATTCTGCCCAAGAATATCCATGGCAGACACATTCTATCCCAGAATATCCATGGCAGACACATTCTGCCCAAGAATATCCATGGAACATACTGGAGAACCATTCTGCCCCAGAATATCCATGGCCGATACATTCTGCCCAAGAATATCCATGGCAGACAAATTCAGCCCCAGAATATCCATGGAACATACTGGAGAACCATTCTGCCTAAGAATATCCATGGCAGATACATTATGTCCAAGAATATCCATGGTACATACTGGAGAACCATTCTGCCCCAGAATATCCATGGAACATACTGGAGAACCATTCACTCAAGAATATCCATGGCAGACAAATTCAGCCCAAGAATATCCATGGTACATACTGGAGAACCATTCTGCCCAAGAATATCCATGGAACATACTGGAGAACCATTCACTCAAGAATATCCATGGCAGACACATTCAGCCCAAGAATATCCATGGAACATACAGGAGAACCATTCTGCCCCAGAATATCCATGGCAGACACATTCTGCCCCAGATTATCCATGGAACATACAGGAGAACCATTCACTCAAGAATATCCATGGCAGACACATTCAGCCCAAGAATATCCAATGAACATACTGGAGAACCATTCTGCCCATGAATATCCATGGCAGACACATTCAGCCCAAGAATATCCATGGAACATACTGGAGAACCATTCTGCCTAAGAATATCCATGGCAGACACATTCTGCCCAAGAATATCCATGGTACATACTGGAGAACCATTCTGCCCCGGAATATCCATGGAACATACTGGAGAACCATTCACTCAAGAATATCCATGGCAGACACATTCTGCCCAAGAATATCCATGGTACATACTGGAGAACCATTCTGCCCCAGACTCCATGGAACATACTGGAGAACCATTCAGCCCAAGAATATCCATGGAACATACTGGAGATCCATTCTGCCCAAGAATATCCATGGGAGACACATTCTGACCCAGAATATCCATGGCAGACACATTCTGCCCAAGAATATCCATGAAACATACTGGAGAACCATTCTGCCCCAGAATATCCATGGCAGACACATTCTATCCCAGAATATCCATGGAACATACTGGAGAACCATTTTGCCCAAGAATATCCATGGCAGACACATTCTATCCCAGAATATCCATGGCAGACACATTCTGCCCAAGAATATCCATGGAACATACTGGAGAACCATTCTGCCCAAGAATATCCATGGCCGATACATTCTGCCCAAGAATATCCATGGCAGACAAATTCAGCCCCAGAATAGCCATGGAACATACTGGAGAACCATTCTGCCTAAGAATATCCATGGCAGACACATTCTGCCCAAGAATATCCATGGTACATACTGGAGAACCATTCTGCCCCGGAATATCCATGGAACATACTGGAGAACCATTCACTCAAGAATATCCATGGCAGACACATTCTGCCCAAGAATATCCATGGTACATACTGGAGAACCATTCTGCCCCAGAATATCCATGGAACATACTGGAGAACCATTCACTCAAGAATATCCATGGCAGACACATTCAGCCCAAGAATATCCATGGAACATACTGGAGAACCATTCTGCCCAAGAATATCCATGGCAGACACATTCTGCCCCAGATTATCCATGGAACATACAGGAGAACCATTCACTCAAGAATATCCATGGCAGATACATTCAGCCCAAGAATATCCATGGAACATACTGGAGAACCATTCTGCCCAAGAATATCCATGGCAGACACATTCAGCCCAAGAATATCCATGGTAGACACATTCTGCTCCAGAATATCCATGGAACATACTGGAGAACCATTCTGCCCAAGAATATCCATGGCAGACACATTCTGCCCAAGAATATCCATGGCAGACACATTCTGCCCAAGAATATCCATGGAACATACAGGAGAACCATTCTGCCCAAGAATATCCATGGCATACACATTCTGCCCAAGAATATCCATGGTATATACTGGAGAACCATTCTGCCCAAGAATATCCATGGCAGACACATTCTGCTCAAGAATATCCATGGTATATACTGGAGAACCATTCTGCCCAAGAATATCCATGGCAGACACATTCTGCCCCAGGAATATCCATGGAACATACAGGAGAACCATTCTGCCCAAGAATATCCATGGCATACACATTCTGCCCAAGAATATCCATGGTATATACTGGAGAACCATTCTGCCCAAGAATATCCATGGCAGACACATTCTGCCCCAGAATATCCATGGAACATACAGGAGAACCATTCTGCCCATGAATATCCATGGCAGACACATTCTGCCCCAGAATATCCATGGTATATACTGGAGAACCATTCTGCCCATGAATATCCATGGCAGACACATTCTGCCCAAGAATATCCATGGTATATACTGGAGAACCATTCTGCCCAAGAATATCCATGGCAGACACATTCTGCCCCAGAATATCCATGGAACATACAGGAGAACCATTCTGCCCAATAATATCCATAGCAGACACATTCTGCCCAACAAAATATCCGTGGAACATACACATTCTGCCCCAAAACTCAAAAACATGAAACTGGATAGGTACATTAACCTACACTTCTGTTGCCTGTATTTATTCATAATAGTCAATGTTCTACCAAAAGTCTTTTTACACGATTATTATCAAACTCTTCTGTAACTACTGCTGTTATTCACATGCAGTTCATCACAGCCATTACCTCCCAAGTTGCATTGATAGATGTTGTTGTTACTGCTGCCACCTTCAAGTTCCTTGGTGCTCCCTCAGGCTCTGCAAGACAGTTATGGAATTTCTTTTCAAAACTGTCATTCAAATTGTATGATTTTCCTTTTCTTTTCAGGATATTCCAGAATACACAAACTGGTAATTGCATTTTCTTTCGATAAAAATCTTCATCACATTAAGTTCAAAGTATTTTGACAGAGGTAAAAAAAATTGTAATACAACATTACTGACACAGGAACATTTATATACAAAAACAACTTTGTCTTGTCTACAAAGTTCAAATGGGTCATGAAGACTTTACTGCCTTGTCAGTGAGTGAGAAGGTCTTTCACACCAGGGACACCAGGAATGGACTTCAGCTGGTCATCCATATTAGGTATCAAAGCCAGGTCATCAGCATTGACAGCGAATGTTTAAACCAATATATTCAACCCACACACCTTCAAAATGATGAAAAAAACAACTGACTTACTGGCAGAGAGAGTATGGACTCCAGCAGATGCATTGCTATAGTCACTGGTACCAACATCATTTGTGGCCGCCACTCGGAACTTGTAGCAGGTGTTGGGGCGCAATCTGTGTTGTAAATATAATGATAAATAAAAACAGTTCCATAATGAAAAAAACATTTTAAATTACGGTACATGTCCTTCTTACTGCCTTCTTTTAACAGTAATTCAGTTATATCATAATTGGCAGTAAGATAATAGAGTGAGGATGAAGAAACTATGGGGCATTTGGGTAATATACTTATGCAGAAGGACCTGAAAACAAAAAATATATCATTAGTCTTGATATAGTAAATACTAACTTTCTGACAGAGACAGACTACAGTATATCTACTTTATATACATGTACTTGCCCAAAAGATGGATGGGGGAAAGAGGTTTACAGTCGACAATAACAAGAACACACACCACATAGTCGCCAAATGTATTCACAGGTAATGGAGGAAGTGACAGTATACCAAAGAATAAGCTTCAAAGTATTGACAATGAGAAGAAACATAAAATCCATCAAAAGCAAGAAAGCATGGAATTAAAATGGATTTTATTCATCTACCATCTACTGACCTTGAAACAATATGGGAGGTGGTGTCTGGGTGTACGGCATCAGGAACAGTGGTCCAGTCACCCCCGCAGGACTGATACTGGATGGTATAGTTGCGAAGTGGGCCGTAATTGTCATTGCCAGGACTCCAGCTGATTGTCACCTCACGGGCTGTCACTTGAGAACCACCAATTGTTGGCGTGGAGGGGCTATCAGGACGACCTAGTAGGAAGAGGGAGCATGTTGATCAGTCATAATAAGAGACAAAATTATGATAAGTAGAAAACTTTACTTTATATGTTCCACTTTCTTCCATTCAAAGCCAGTATCAGACAGAGTGAAACTTCATCACCTCGAAGTACCGGTAATCATGAATAATACTGAAAACCCTTCTAGTCCATACTTCGATACAATCAGAATGTCAAAACCTGACCACTACTTGCAGGACCAAATTATTCTCTCAGAAAATAACAAGTAACATTGTGTCACATAATATATCAAGTTTGAGTTAACAAGGTCTCTCTGTATAAAGAATGAAAAGTAAAAATACTAATAAGAAATAAATTCCACATGCATTTGAACTATAAAGTTCATACTCCTGTCATTCATAGTGTAGACTGTGACATTGGCTGTCTCTCCCCATCCCAGTCTTGTCTTTGCTGTAACACTGAAGACATAGTACGTTTCTCTGATGAGGCCAAACACTGTATGCTCCAGAACCCCTGATGGCAGCACGATTGTGCTCAGGTTACTGGACTCCTGGATGGAGTAGGCTATCTTGTACTGGGTGATGATGCCGTTAGGCTCGGAGGGTGGGCTCCACACAATCTTAGCTGAGGAGTAGGTGACATCAGGGAAGTAGATTATGATAGGGGGACCAGGAACTGAAATAGTAGTAAACCGGTAAGCAAGATGGGAGAAAGCATTGTCAACACTGGCAAAGTACATGACACATATGGGATTTAAGACTGGCACTTTTCTCTCTAATTTTCTGTCATGATTGTCAGTATATTTCAGTCCTATCACACAATATGTCAGCTTAATTTTGGAGGAATACCCAAAGCAAGGCAGATGATAGGCCTTTTCAATTTGGTGTAAGGCAGGCAACTGGTGAATTATCATCAGGGTGAAAATGGGATTTAAACCCATGACCAGTGTAATCTGACACAACAAAGGGATACAACTCTGCACCTTATATTGCTGTACCAAATACCACTGGGCCACCCCATGTCCCCAAGAAAGGAGTCTAATCTCTAGCTTCAATAAAAAAAGTATCACATTCATCGCTAGAATAGCTGCAACATTTACTCACAATCTTCAAAAGTCTTGTCAGTTTCCACATTGCTGAGGACACCATCGCCCATCCTTGTGTAAGCCAAAACCTGAATTTGATAGGAAACAAACTTGCGTAGGTTGCTGAGGAGAAAGTGTGTGGTTTCGTTATGGTCCACCACCTCAAACTTGGCATCTATCCCTTCTGTTGGGGCAGAGTACTTTATCTGGAACACAATGCACATAATGAACAACAACATCATAACATTCAACGTACTTAATGCATTTCATCAAATATACTCCTCTTCCAACCCCTTTAATCATTCCCATTCTGAATTTAAAGATAGTTAGAATAAAGAGAATGTTCTTGAAACCTTAGACGCTGGCATATAAAAAACACAAGCACACAAGCAACAAGTCTTTTCCATCCGGACAGTTATGTCAGTGTTTTAGCCTTTTATACCTTTGATTCCAGGGTATGCAATGTTTAGATTTATGATAAGTAACATAAACTGCTATGTTTGACTGCAAATACAACTAATCCTAAAATATTTGTGCTTGTTTTCTTATATAACTTGTTTTCAAGAGGCATTTTAAAGAATAAGCTCAATCTTACTCTTGAAAAGTTATTATTTTCACTTCCTGCATTCCAGCATATTGACCATGCTTAAGAAAGACAAGATTGGTCTGATTTTCCTAGATGAACTGATGTACCTTGTATCCCAGTATCATGCCGTTCTGCTGCAGGAGGGGCACTTGGCCCCAGGTGATGTTGATGCTGGTGGAGGACTTAGCAACAGCCTTCACACTGCTGGGACTAGCACTCGGCACTACAAGCACAGCCAGAGAATCAGATATATACACAGGACCTGCTCACACCAAAACACTAAATAGAATTGCACTGGAATGCAGTTGTGTTTGTTTGACAGTATTATTGCAGGCAGCAATATTCCTGTTATGTCAAGGCTGCCTGTTAATAATCAAGTTCGGCAAACCAGTAACTGAAAGAATTAGCAACATCCTGAACTGTCAGGACATGATGACACACGTTTAGTCAGAGAGCTTGACTCTAATAACAGCAACAGGGTACTGGAGAAACATTCTAACTCAGATATTTGACAGTTGGTCTCCATAGTGCCTTTCAGCACCATACAAAGGCAACAGTTTATTAAACTAGAGATCATAAACTTACCTATGCTAGTAACAGCATTTTCTTTTACATTTTTAACAAATTATTTGAATTAAAGCACTAACAAAAGTTTCAGGGAGCGTTACACACCAATCAGCAATATTTTGGCTATTTCATGTTAGCAAGCTAGAGCCTGGTAAACAAGAATTTGCATGAGCAATGATTCATCTGGGTATGATGATACACTTTCAGTTGTGTCAGACAGTGTAAGTATCTTCTCCTCATTAAGTCAACTCTTATATTACATTAAGTAAGTTCTTAGTAAATGGACTGGGTAAGTGTGATCTATTCTTCCCTGAACTTCTCATGAAGGAACACCATTTTGAGCAATGGTGTTGTGGTGTCACTGACCTGACTCCCTCGTCCTCTCTTTGGCCACAGGACTGTGGCTGCTGACTCCAACATCGTTGTAGGAGGTCATCTTGACCTCGTACTCCACCCACTCCTGCAGTTGGCCCAGGATGAAGCTCTCCATGTTCATGCCATTCTCCAGGGGCAGCACAGTAAAGTCAGCTGTTGGGTCAATCTCTTTCATCCTATAGTACAACTTGTAGCCCTGGGGCTCTCCGTTCCAGTCCTTGCTGGGAAGAGGCTGCACAATACAGAGGTGGAGACTTTCATCCATGAGTAGATATTTGGATGATAACTTGCTTTATTTTTCTTTATTGCATGGGTGAATCACAAAACATGTAAGAAAGTCTGTTGCAGTTTTTTCTACAAAGCCAGTTCTCTACGAGTGAGTGCATATGGTTAAACTTCACCTGTATTAATATTCCAGCCATATCACAATTGGGGACACCAAGAAAGGGCCTCACACGTTAAACAAGCGTCCACATGACGTGAAGAGAAAAAAGCTAATTTAACCACAAGACTACCACACCACTCATCTTTCAAAATTAGACAACAGTGAAGTTAAATGTATCTTTTAACAAATGAGAAACTTACAATCCAGCTGATTCTGAAGGCTGTAGAATTCAAGGCCCTGACTGTCACATTGCCAGGGGGGCCACCAGGAGCATCTTGCAATGTCTCAAAGATCCTTGTGGGTAAGCTAGCGTTGCTCCTGCCCACAATATTCTCTGCAATCAACCGCAGTTTATACTGCGTGTAAGGCCGCAAATTCTGTACCAGAATCTCACGAGCATCAGGATCATTCCGTGTGTAAATCTCCCTCCATGTGCTGCTGGTTCCTTCACAAGCTTCCACAATCCACAGGGTTATGGAAGTCTTACCACTGGAGCCAGGCAGGTACTGCAGCAGCACTGACCGGGCCTGCATGTTGGTAATGCCAAGGTTGTAGGGGGCCGTCGGGAGCTCTGGAAATAGTAGGATCATGTAATCACATAAGGCCAAAAAACTACAGAGCATTTAGATTCTGATTAAGACTGACATTTGAACAGCTTACTTTTTCAGAATCAAATAAAGAAATTGGGCCTAAATCAGAACATTTCACACCTCTGGATTGTGCAGTATGATCAGTCTATTCAATAAGCCTCACCATCCATCACGTTATAATCAACACTTATGACAACCATAAGCAGGGCTTGGTTTAGCTATATAATTACATGCACCAGTGCAACCTACTATTGAAATATGCAACCTAGCTAATATTTATGTCTGCATGCACCAAGTACATGTCAAAACTGTAACAGAAAGTAATAACTGTATAAACACCATGACACAGTCATCAGAGATCTGAGATTTTATCTATTCAGACTAGTTCATGCATCTAGGTTTCAACATTGAAAATATTTGCTTGTCTGGTGCAACTGGGTTTTCATGTCAACATGCACCTGGTGCAAGTTAAATGAAGTTCCTTAACTTGAGCCCTGATGGGATATTGAGGACCAATTTCAGCCTTGGACACCTAAGGCACAAAGCTGAACAAGTGGTATTGAAGTGGTATAGCATGCATATGAATTCCACTTAGGAGGAGGTCAACACGGGCACAGAACATACAACAATTACCACTTTACTGTCTATGAGTACAGGCATGTAGCTTAAAGACCAAAGATCCTATTTGTCATGGAGATGACCTTGAACTTAAACCTCTGACCTGAGGATCCTAGCTTGTAGTGGACCATTTGGTCACCCTGAGCATTGCCCACCTAACACTTGTGACAGGGATTGCCTGTAGTCTAACGTTTAGTCTATGAAATTTTATATAACATGATACTCTTCTCTCCTCTAAAATTAAAACACATTTTTTTTTTTGATGCTGAATTCATGTGGAATAGAGCAAGCTAGAGCTGGCTGGACTTGCTTTTGTGTATATCTATCTTTTGTTTTCATAAAATAAATATATTCCCCAGTCATGGAGCAGGACTAGGATTGCCTGGTACAGCCTGACACTAGAAGGCCACCCACTGTATTGTGGCTTAACACATGGGAAAGGCATTACCTGGTGGTACACCAGAAGCAATGTCCGCTGAGGAAAATGGCCCCATCCCCTTCCTTGTCAAGGCAGCAACAGAGATGTGGTACATCGTGGTCGGCATGAGTCGCTGGATGGTGTAAGATGACAGGCTGGGTATGAGGTCTATTTCTGTTCGTGTGGCTGTCTGGTTCTTCTTCTCATACACCAACTTATACCCTGTAGAGACAAGACATTACAAAAACAACTGTCAACATCGCAAGTGAGTTGATTTCATATTATCAACATCTCAAGTGAGAGAGTCCATATTGTCAACATCACAAGTGAGAGAGTCCATATAGTCAACATCTCAAGTGAGAGAGTCCATATAGTCAACATTGCAAGTGAGTTGATTTCATATTGTCAACATCTCAAGTTAGAGAGTTCATATTGTCAACATCACAAGTGAGAGAGTCCATATAGTCAACATCTCAAGTGAGAGAGTCCATATTGTCAACAGCTCAAGTGAGAGAGTCCATATCGTCAACATCACAAGTGAGAGAGTCCATATTGTCAACATCTCAAGTGAGAGAGTCCATATTGTCAACATCATAAGTGAGAGAGCCCATACTGTAAGTGATAGAGTCCATATTGTAAACATCACAAGTGAGAGAGTCCATATTGTCAACATCTCAAGTGACAGCATTCACACTGTCAACATCTCAAGTGAGAGAGTTCATATAGTCAACCCTGAATCCTGATTCTAGTAATACTGTGTTAAATCTAGTAAGCTCTGTTAACAGTTGTCCATATAATAACATGGAAATCAACTTAAAAGCCAGCTAGCAGACACAACAGTTTTTGGCACAGACTGCTACATTGGCAAATCAAACATCAATAATTTTAGAGCCATTCATGTTGTCTTGTCTGACCAATCATTCCAACTCAGTGTTCACGTAGGATACCAACTGATGCTACATCTCACCTTGAAGGATTCCATTCACCTTCAGAGGCACAGTCCATGACACACGTAACGTGGTGTCTTGAATGTTATCAAATCTCAGGTCACCAACTTCTCCAGGAACTGAAATGGAAACACAGCCATTTAGTTTTACTGATGGGTGCTAGTACATGTCAATTGAGTGCAGCATAACAAACATTTATACTAGGATAATAAACAGTTGCAGCAATGACTTGAAACCATATAGTACTGTTAGACAAACTGGATCTATATATATGCAATTTTGAGAGTTTGCAATCTCATTAAAATCAAATCTAAGTTCTCGCTGCCGCTAAACAAAGATCTGAGGACATCCCATTACGGGTCACGTCAGAACAACCTTTTGCGAACTTTGACCGACCACTGAAACGATTAACAAGAAGTTAATATCAGGCCAATGAGAAAGCAGCTTTCTCGAGCTTTACGGCACTCGTTTCAACCTGGCGACTTCCATCTCAGACTTAACGCTTGAAAAATATGTTGACACAGTTCTCAATTAAAATTTTGAAAACTGAACAAAAGAACAATCCGGAATGTCTAATTGTATGGCAGTGCTTCCCACGTACTGTGCAGCGCCTCCTCTGTTCAAATGTTTATCCTACGGAAGTGAGAGACAGACAATAATTTTGACGGAATCAGTCGTACGGGGCGTAACTGTCGTTCGGAATACCCTATTTTAACGTTTTCGAGGTTGCATGTTTAGAAAACACATTCCGACTGTCACTTTCATGATCTGGTAAGCGACGCTTTGATTGGTCGGATGAAAGGTCGTTCTGACGTGACCCGTAATGGGATGTCCTCAGATCTTTGTTTAGCGATAGCGAGAACTAAGATCTGATTTTATTGAGATTGGAGAGTTTGAGGTAGATGTGATCATAGATATTGTGCCATGATGTTTTTGATTTGATTGACCTAAAGATCTACAGAGTCAAGCAGATCCATAGTTGATTGTGTGAGTCTCTCTACCATACAAATGATGGTGCCTGAGAGTTTCTGGGATTACATGTACAGAGGCCTTGGCACTCACAACAGCTGCCAGCTGGGACATGTTCAACAGTTTCAGTGATTTAGACAACTGGGCCACCATGGCCACAGATGCCCCCTCCCATGTGAACTTCTCAGGTAGCACTCACCATCCTCCTGTGTCCTTGCAGTTTGTGGAGGGCTGGCAGGACCAGGGCCAGCTGTTGTCCTGCACACGATAGTTGCAACATACTCCGTGAACTTCCTGAGATCAAAGATCAACTTCTCCTGAGTGTCGTACAGGTTGTTCGGGTCAGACGGAACGAACACTGCCTGCTCTGTCTGTGTGATGGTTTTCCGTCTCAGCTCAATGGTATACCCTAGATTGACACCATTTATCTGAGAAGGGTCTGGCGGTAGCCAGGTGACCAACAGTGTGGTAGAGTTGGGAGATGTCAGAGTTACATTTGTTGGTGGAGCCGTAGGCCGACCTTCTACTGTCCATACTAGGAAGGCATTGCTGTAGTTGCCTGTGCCCTTGGTGTTAAAGGCAGCTATCTTCACCTCGTACTGACTGTAGTATACCAAGTTATCTAAGAGGTACTGCGTGCTGCTTTGGCCTGTCACATTACGGAACTGAAGTGCCGTGTCGGGGTAGTTGGCGATCTTGTAGCTGATGGTGTAACCAAGAAGGGCACCATTCCATGTACTTTCATCTGGAGGCTGCCACTGGATTAATATAGCTCTATCTGGACGAGGGGAGCAGTAGAAATTTTTAGGTGGAGAACTTGGTGCTGAGAAAGAAATAAACACATGTGTGAGCATAATGAAGTTAGCAGTAGTCCAGCTTTACAAACCTGTGGTTCATAGCAATACCAACAATCAATGTTATGAGGGTAAATGACATGCTGTAAGCCAGGGCCCACTTGCACAAAGCGATCTTAGCGCTAAGATGATCGTAACTCCCATACTTTAACATAGGCTTACAATAGTCTCAGCGCTAAGATCGCTTTGTGCAAGTGGGCCCAGGTTATATATCCCCTTTTTGACACTTCAGACTGAGAACTATAATTCCAACTGGTGTGAATAAATTACACTTATTGACATGGCAAAAGTCCATCTTATTAACAACAATTATGACATCACCTAACATAATGGTACTAGCAACAACTATCATAGCATCAACTCTTAATGACCATTGAGCTTCATTTCACAATACAATTAATGAACTGTTATACAGCTATTTAGTAATGGGGAATCCCAGTGAGATCATTCACACAACATGATGGTAATCTTACGTTGAGGAGGCATCTGTAGAGCTTGATCTGGTTTGGGCTGACTAGAGTTGCCCTCCCCAACACTGTTGACAGCACTGATCCTGAACTTGTAGTATCTGGCAGCCTGCAGACCGGATACGTCTTGACTCGTTTTGTCAGGAGAGATGTTGACTGGGTACACCACCCATCTCGCATTCTCATTGTTTCCATCTGTTACAACATCAATCGTTGCAGTCAAAACAAGGAACAACAATTAATGAGTTGAATAATAATAGGGAATCAGAGTATTCTCCTTATTAATATACTTATCCTGACACAACAGTATGCAATATTCCTTCTTGCTTTGATCATATTACAGTGTAGACAATAATCACTGGACACCCTCTGACCACCTCGTTGATGCCGAAAACAACAAGTGATGTCAATATTATAATGTAACACACGAGGTGAGGTGAAATTGGGTTTACAGTCGCGTCCAAGATTATTGCACTTATATAGCGACATGCATGCACATGTGTGTGTGTGGAGGGGATGGTAGCTTGTACTAGTCCGGACTGATGCTGATTTAAAGTGCTAGCCCACTGAGATACCATGCCGCAGTTTAACATGAATACCCCACTCAGACACAGTATACTGACTCCGAGCTGACCAGTCCTTGTATTAACCCTTTAATAAAGAATGGCTGGGGATGTCCGGGCGATGAAAGAAAAAGTTATGAGTAGTACAGGAGCATGCTGGGAGCGAGGTGGTTGGAGGGTGTGTTCCGGTGATTATTGTTTTCACAGTGTTCTACACCGTTATGTGATGGAAGCAAGAAGGAATATTTCATACTGTTGTGAAGGGATAAGTTAACAAATATATTACTTCAATTCTGGAAAGACAAGCTTTTAAGTAGCTATACTCAACCTTCTAGAGTAGCCCAGCATGATGATCTCAACGAAGGCAACCTTGCAATGGGTTTAACCATGGACCTATATAACAAGTCCGTGGGTTAACTTACTTTGGACTTCATCTCTGTAGCTGATGATATACCGCTGTATGGGGCTGTTACCGTCATAAGCTGGTCGCCATTGGATGGTGACCGTGTTTGATTTGGTTGCATGCAACACAACAGAGAGAACTACAGGGCGGCGGGGAAGTTCTGGAAAGGGAAATTTATGGCAACTTTAACAAATGTTAGTGACAACTGAAGAGTTACAAACATAAAATCCACGTGTTTCCTGAAAAGTTAGAATCATGAAAAGGATGTTATACAAAACAAAACTCTAAAACCACAATCTTAAATCATCAAGCACTTATAACTGAAAGTAAACAGAAGTAATTGTTCACATCCCTCTTTCAAAATAACATCTATTTTTCAAGTTTCACACCATTTTTGACATTTTATATCACATCCATCTTTCACATATGCATTCACATTTTACATTCATCTTCCACATACATCAGCTGCAAAACCTGAAATTCAACTCACCAATGACCATGAGTGTTGCTACCCTGCTGTCATTGCCCCCTGGTGAGATGACCTGACACTTGTAGCGACCTATGTCCTGACCAGCAACTCCGCTGATGATAAGGCTTCCCTGCTGCGTGATGAGATGCCGACCACTGTTGCTGATTGGCTGTTCCACATAGTCCGGCTTCTTGTAGAAGTACCACTTCCATACAACCTGGACATTTTCATCTCGGGTGACGCCACACTCCAAGGTTGCGCTGGTACTCAGGATGGCAGTGATATTCTGTGGCGGACGCACTATCTGTGTCTTGACTGCAAACACAAGGTGTTCATTTGATACAGAGGTGTATCAATACGCTTTCCAATTGGTCAGTATTTGAAACTTTTCTTTGAAAAATATCAACTTTTTGTGAATAAACATTTCCTAATTGACATATTCTCCATATGTTAGTTTCATGTTTTGTCAATAATATTGGGCAGCCCTAATTGCATGCAGAACAAAAAAAACATATCTGATGAATTTGTGTTAAAATATTCCAGGATTTTCAACAGATAGATGTTTTTTTAATTTTTCGAAGACAATCTTTTTTCAATATTACTTTAAATGGGTACTAAACACGGCCATGTTACATTCAAGCACATTCAAAAACATTTTATGATTTGTAGCATCTTGCAAGGATGATTGCCCTAATATGGAGACTATGAGTCAAATAACTGCTACCGCAAGAGTTGACATATAACTGAGTTTAGCAGATGCAGTCTAGTCGCCCTTCAAGGGTCATCACATATCACAACAAACACATACTGATGACTTGTAAGGTGGCCTCTTCGGAGGCATTGCCACGGATATTGGTGGCAATACATCTGTAGACAGCCGAGTCTGACTTCAGGGTAGTAGCCATCAGTAGCAAGCCATTGTCAAGGATCTGGAAGCGACCACCACTCGAAATTGTCTCTTCACCGCTCGGTGTCACTGACAACACAAAAGAAAAATGAGACATTGTCAATGGCTAATATCTTCAACCAGGAGCATGACATACAATCACATGTTTTGTTTAATGCTGCATTCAACCATATTCCAGCCTCATGATGGTGACCTGTAAATAATCAAGTTTGGACCAGACAATCTATGAGCAACAATACACATTGTGGAGGTACAACAACGCACTATGAACTAAGTCACCGAGTCTGACCACCCAATCCATTCTTATGACCATCATAGGTGGAAGTGGACCTGTCCTAAACAGAATCTCCACACAGCATCTAACATGTGCCCGTATCGAAAGAAAGAGGATATGTCCCAGAGCCGCACAAGCAACCTTTTGAATACAACAAATCCATTTACCCCCACCACCAGTATTACTATCAAATATAGCATCATTGTGTGTGAAACAAAAGGCTGCCAGAGTATGATTACACACAATCAGGTCCCCATTCATTAAAGCGATCATTGTGCTTAGATCTCTTTGTGGAATGGGGCCAATTCACAACTGACAGTGACTATGTGGTCCGTTGCACAACATGCATGGAGAACTGCAGACCTAGGGAAACAGCCTAATGTTGAAACAGAACCTCCAACCGGCAACAGAGATCAAATGATGTATCAATCTATGTATATATGTATTACAAAAAAGGGAGACAACTGTGGTCATTCTAATTCAAAAGCCACAGCACATATGCAAAAACATGCATCAACAGCTTCAGTTGGACAATAATTTTGACACATTAATACACAACAGGGAGCAATAATACATGGCCATAACATATAATCATGTACAGTCAACTGTTATGAATTACAAAGAAAGTACTATATATGCTGACTACCTTTCTTCCAGGTGATGACAGGCTGGGGGGCTCCAGTCACTTCACATGGAAACCGGGCCTCGTTAGTCTCTACCACAGTCAGATCCTGCGGAGAGGTCACAAACCTGGGTGGAGAACCTAGAAACAAACACAGAGAGACTTGTAATCTGTATACACTAAAATTCTTTCTTAAATGCACATTTCAAGCTTGCCGCGGTCGATGGATCCCTAAACCTAAATATTAAATATTTGTCATCCCTTGTCACACAAACAACTTATTCTGATTTTGATCAGATTTTGTAGAGTACCATTGTCTATTGGAAAATTAACATGGTTTGTTTTGTTTAGTGCTGCACTCAGCAATGTTTCAGCTATATGACAGCAATAACTTTCTACCTAAACAACCTGCAGAACGTAAGCTGATCAGTACTTAACGCATTATAGAACTATATTCAGTGCTTGATATTATAAAGGAATCTATGAAAACCATTTTCACAAAAATATCCTCTCCCTCACTTTGTTTTCAAAATAATTCATAAAGTTGTTTTTTTACCAATAACACTATTTTATGGGGGGGGGAAATACCTCAAAGAGTTTGAATCTTCCTTAGATAAAGTCCATGCAAAATGATGGTGGGTTACCATCATGACTGTGACATTTAAATGTTGTTTTTCATAAATCCTTCACAGACAGCCAGACTGAAACTGATTCTAGTACTAAACAGCTGGATGTACTTGAGAGAACACATCATTACCCAGTTAGCTGTGTAATGCATGTTGCTGTCACGATAAGAACAGATAAACAATATCTATATCAAACAAGCCCCTATCAAACATTGCTCTCTAATCAAAGCAATAAAAAAGGAAGAATTGAGTTTCATTAATGATTTACAGAAGAATTTGTTTTGAAAACACCTCCATGTTTTATCTCAAATATATATGGAGAAGCATTTTGATAAAACTAAAGTACACTATAACTTGAGATAGTACATCAAATAGTACTAATGTCTCTCAGATAGAAAAACTGAGGAAACAGAAAACTGATTGGCATGTTTCTCCGGTCAGTCATTTAAGGATAAATATTTTATACTTGACATAAGAGAAACAATAACTCAGATGATTTTAGCATTTAAGTGGATTATCACTGTCAAATGCTTTTTATGATGACAAATTTCTTTCGACATTAAGAAAATTAAATTTTATCATAAAAACTCATTTGATAAGACTTTTTATGACCAGTTATTAATTATTCAGTGTACTTTGACTTCTCATAAACCATGACATGTTTCCGGTATTGGTCACAGGCATCTGGACAAATAGCTGCTGATACAGCACCTAGGGATAAGTAGTAATGTCATTAGTGATATGAAGTGCCATCAGTGCTGATTTCTGGCAAAATAACTGTTGTGATACACAGAAGTACAGTAGGCATGTAACTCACACATGCGATATTGTAAGGTATGCAGTTGCTTCCTAAGGATATTTTATTAAGATTTGGTTGTCTTTTAACTTATTTAATTCATGAAATTTAAAGATGAAACACACCGGGTTATGCTTAACATTTCAAATTAACATCAAGGACATAATCCTAATCTGATTTCATTACTAATCCAGTACACACAAATATTATTGCAAGACGTATTTTCCATTATTATTTAACTGATACCACAATTAATAACAGTCTGAAAGATGTTCACTGGTCTGTATTAACAGGGTATAACTATTGTCAATACCAAACTGTCCCAATACAAAAGGAATGGGGTTAGTGTGCATTTTATTGCTAGACATACTTGTTAAAAACTGCGCAAAATTCATACTTTACTATAGAGTCACATAGAAAATCATTCTCTGTGTTAACAGTTTCACAAAACAAAGAAATTAATCAACAATATTGAAGGTTTTTTTTAAATTCCACCACTCACCAAATATAACAAAGGTTGATATGAAGACATCATACTTTATAGCTGTTTGTGTGTTATTGTGTTCGTATATAAATAAAAACACTCCCATCTACAAAGTTCCCCCACTTCCTAACTTGCAGAGACACTGAAGACATCATACTTTATAGATGTTAGTGTGTTATTGTATTCGTATATAAATAAAAACACTCCCATCTACAAAGTTCCCCCACTTCCTAACTTGCAGAGACACTGAAGACATCATACTTTATAGATGTTAGTGTGTTATTGTATTCGTATATAAATAAAAACACTCCCATCTACAAAGTTCCCCCACTTCCTAACTTGCAGAGACACTGAAGACATCATACTTTATAGCTGTTAGTGTGTTATTGTATTCGTATATAAATAAAAACACTCCCATCTACATATTTCCCCCACTTCCTAACCTGCAGAGACACTGAAGACATAATACAGTACTATGATGTCAGACAATGATGATGTCATAGCTAAAAGAACGTTGCCACACTATTCACATTCGGCTTTGGAGAAAAACATGGGAATAAATTCCCTTTTTGTTTTGTATCGAACACTGTATCTTTGAGGATTTGATCTTTAGTCTATGATTCTCAGCTATACTGCTTCATATCACTAATTGATTTAATATGAAGTAGAGTCACATAATCAAAGCTAAACCATACCAGCAGACATTCTTAATATTTACCTTTACATTATTGTACTAAATGCAGTGGTCAAATGCCTCAAACTGTGCCTGCAACAGACACCTTGTCTGGAATCCTAGGTAAATTCGTGTAATGTTCCCATACCTTTTGCCACTTGACAAAGAAGATGTCATACAAAAGTACTGGAACATATTCAGGCTATACATTCACCATGTGAAAGGTAGATTCCAGCAATGCACAACACTTACTGTTAACTTTGAGCCATGTTGATGCAGACACCTCCCCAGCCCCATTACTGGCTATACATTGAAACACACCACTGTCTGGCAAGTCGATGCTTTCAATTATCAGGGTGCCATTTCCCAGGTCCCTGTATCTGTGGACAAATCAGTTTACCGATGTTGACGAGAACATACAGAACAACCACAAGAATTTAACAACATTATGTAAAGGCCTTGTATGCTAAAGACATACCATTCAGAAATTATAAAACCTTTGACTTATTCTTGAATGAGTGATATTATATTTAAAGCCAGAAAAAAATGAATAATGTTTTCCTGTATATTTAAGTTGTATTTAAAATTATTGTGAAGTTAATCCCCCATTGCCTCCTGCTTCTTAGTATGTTGACTGAAATAATTTGTAAAACAATTCTGAAACTGGTTCCGCCATAGAATGATTCAATGCATGTAATCTGAGTACCTTGCATTGCCGAGCAGTTTGACCTTTCTGCCATTGTAGTACCATGTAAAACTGGGAGCAGGCTGCCCCACCGCCTCACAGACCAGCTCCACTGTCTCACTGAAGTCCTTGTCCAGTGTTGTAGGCAAGGGCGGGGTGATGAGGGGGCGCTCTGCAACAAACATTCAGGTGTACAACAGCATCAACTAATTTCCTCAACACGTCAGGGAGGAAAAATATTCATGCCGTACTGAGAGACTGATAGAGGACCTGAAGATACTCTAGTAAATGTTGTTTATCATATAATGGGTAGGTTTCTCAGCAGGTTAAAGCCAGGGGATAAAAACGATATCCATTAGGGTCATATGCGGATAGAAATGCAAATATCAAAGGTCAAGTAGGGACTACTTTCAGTGTTTACAAACAAACATGGCATCTCCCTTGTCATTCGGCGATCGAGTCAGAATTAACCATCGGGAATCTGGAGAAACTACTGGGATAATTGCTGTCATTATCAAAAGAATAGTCAAATATACTGAAAAATCAGTGTCTAACTGTAACATAGCCAAGGCAATTTACAAGTTTTTGCAACTTTGGAGAAACAATTTAGCAAGGACACTAGTCTATCGGGATCAGTGTCCATATCTGTACTTGCCGACCTATGTGGTTTGGAACCTTTTCCCCAAATTAAAGCCGAGAGGATAGGATATTGCCAAAACATGTCCGAATCGTTACCTTGTTTCGTTTTATAACTGTGTGCACATCTGACTGCACTTCCTAAGGTTATGACAGGAGAGGCAGACTCTAAACAAACCTGACGTCTAATAGATTAGGGTAGTTACTCTAGCGGACAGAAAGGTAAGTTGAAACAATTTGCATTGGCAATTGTTGTTTTGCCTACATGTGGTTACGCCACTGTATAAGAAACAGATTCAGTTGGAACAATACTGACTGTTGTCACTGTCCGATGGACTAGTCAGTTACCTTCTGACGTAATATATTTTAATGCACACATTCCAGGAGAATTTGCAATGTTTAGGTAATGTTTGTGAGAGATGGGAAGAGATTTTGAGCACAGCATTGAAGAATGACATTATATGATAAAGATGTTACTACACTAGTGTGTTACCATCCCCAAACACACTCATGTGATAACCTCTATTTCTCTGCAGTTCGCAATAGTCAACCTGTTTCAGTGAGACCTGTAAATAATCTTGCCTTGACTAGAGAAGTAAATAAATGATAACATGAGCAATGATTCATGTCCATCGGGGTATGATGACATACTGTAAAGCATTTTAACAACCAAATCACCATTACAGATGCTCAAGCTTTGGGCACTGGAACCTATTGTGCACCAGTTTTACCACAGGGTAATTAGCAGACACATCTGAATGATGGAAGGTTAAATCCCCTCCATACCACAGGCAGCCTACCTCTGATGGTGATGTTGGCCCTGTTGGTAACGCTGGGGTACTGAGGGCCACCAGGTATGGACAGTTTGCCCTCACACTCATACACTCCATTGTCAGCCCTCACTGGAGACTTTATCGTCAGAACTCGCTTGAATGGACTGATCAAGTATCTGCCCCCACGTTCTATCTCCGTCCTGGAGTCATCTGTCACCTTAAACCAGCTGATACTCAGATAGTTGATAGGTCTGAAACAGAAGACAGTAGATAAGTAACCCTGAGTGAGTGAGTGAGTGAGGGAGTGAGTGAGTGAGTGAGTGAGTGGGTGGGTGGGTGGGTGGGTGAGTGAGTGAGTGAGTGAGTGAGTGAGTGAGTGAGTGAGTGAGTGAGTGAGTGAGTGAGTGAGTGAGTGAGTGAGTGAGTGAGTGAGTGAGTGAGTGAGTGAGTGAGTGGGTGGGTGGGTGGGTGGGTGGGTGGGTGGGTGGGTGGGTGGGTGGGTGGGTGGGTGAGTGAGTGAGTGAGTGAGTGAGTGAGTGAGTGAGTGAGTGAGTGAGTGAGTGAGTGAGTGAGTGGGTGAGTGGGTGGGTGGGTGGGTGAGTGAGTGAGTGGTGAGTGAGTGAGTGAGTGAGGTTTAAAAGCTTTTTTTCAAAATATTTCAGTCACATAATGGCATGTCACCTGAATTTGGGGGTAAAGTTTGCAACCATATTTGTTTTTACAGTAAGTACAATCAGCATATTAGAAGACACACCCCCAAGGCATCATTATATGTGTTTCAGACTGACTACATAATGGTCTAAGAAACCAACACACCTTGCATTGATGACACACTCCACTTTGACATCGGAGTCCCCTTCATTAGCTATAACAGACACTGGTGGAGATATCATCTCTGGGAGAAGGTGAGCTGATCGGTTGCCATGTTCTAAAAGAGAAGGTTACTCTCATTAATTGTATGCCAAAATTGCATGATAACACAGGAATGGATTAACATTTTTAACACAACAGCTTAACAATACTGATTATTTCTGAGCATTTATATTTATTGTGAAAAGACATTGCAATGTTTTGTTATCAAAATTATATTTCAAGGTCAGTTATATGAATATATACAAATCTTTCTTTCTAAAACACTGCTAATACCCTCTCATCAATAATGCCCAAAATATAAACATCAACTACATAAATCTAAAAAATTAGCAACTATTTTCATGCAAAAATCTAGAAACATTTCTTTTATTCTTGTGATAGTCACTATATGAAGAACACTACAAACATCTTTGCAATGGGCCACAATAAATTAATAATAACATTTCATCCCAATTTTGCAAAACATGTGAAGTTGGTGGCATCTTATTTTTATTAAAATAAAACTGTGTACTTTACTGGCGACTGATGTGATTCCCATGAAGCATGAATGTTTGGTAACACTACATATGTGGTGATTTTCATTTAGAAAAGGAAGAACTCATAGTCTCTGTTTGGTCAAGTATGATATCAATGATTACTTTATCATGGCTTTACATGACAAAATCAAAACCATCCACAAGACATGACTGTGCCCAAAATTACATACTGCAATGAATACTGCCTTTTACATCACACATCTTATGACATTACTTATAAGTTATTATCAAAGATTACTAAAACATGTTGAACATGCTTCTGATCTAGTAAAAAATCTTCACTTTGACCTTGACCAGAATAGGATACACAAGTCCTGCCGTAACTTTTTGAAGACTTCTACAAAGTATCAATTGTCTACCTAAAGGTACTTCATTCATATAGGACATATAGCTGTTATCCGAACTTTGAGATCTTTTACAAGTGCTTAACTTTTACAATGTACGTAGGTCACAATGACCTGACAGTTTTTTGATAGGTTGCCATTATTTGTTATCAATAAAACATGCCCCAAACTCACAAAACGAGCTGGTTCAACTTCAACTGAACATGACGCCAAAGGACAAATTCGATCTTAATACACACTTCAGAATGGATCACAAGTTCATCATATCTGGTAAACTGTCTTCATTGTTTGTTTTGACGGCACTTCTTCAACACTCACCAACTATATTGATCACAAAAATATGGCTCTGGCTTTGACTGCCAGCACCGCTGAAGCCATTGACAGCCCGTGCTTGGAACTGTCTTCCTGAATCAGATATGGAGTTGGACAACAAGACCAGGTTCTTCTGGAGAGTCACATGATGGTAGATGGACTCAGCAGACAGGGTGGAGTTGTTCTGCTTCCAGTCGATGTCTGGGTCAGGCACACTGTCAAGTGGGGGCAGGTTGAGGATGATGGCCCGACCTTCATTGACTTCTTTTGGCTCAGTGTTTCCCGGTTGGAACATTTCCATGTCTGAAAAAAACATCACAACACTGTAGGGCATATCAAGGTGGTCACTATACTCGATTTTGACACTTTTAACAAACTTTATCATAGTCTGTTATTAAAACCATATATCAATATTTCAAAAGTAAATGATGTACATTTATTTTCATGACCCTCCCCAAATCAAGGCATTTTTGTAAAATATTCGTGTGACCCTCTGTTCAAAAATACTGATGACGTCCAAGCCAAATAAGCAAATGCCAGGTGGACCAGTAGCTCTTCAATAATCCAGTAACAATCACAGTAACAATCATAGGACATCAAGGATTTGGATGACTGGCCAAGACTGGCAACAAAATCTAGATAATTTGTAAATGTTTTCTATCTATACATAGTTAAAGCAGTGATAGTAGCAGTTTATATTTAACCATACAGACTGGGTAAAAGATTACCAGACCTCCTAAATTACTACTGGCCATACAATAATAGTCAAGAAACTGTTTTAAATATTGTCCAAGTACCAATAATACATTACCTATCCCTTTACCACACAAGTCCACATACCAGGTACAGGCACAAGAGCGAGTCAGTGAGTTTGGTTTTACAGAGTTTATCATGGCAGGGACACAGAGAATGGCTTCATCATGTTCATAAATTGTACCCGTTTAAAGAATCAAAGCCAGGTCAAGCCACTAGCCACTAGCCCACCTTAACCACTAGCCCACCCCACCACAATCATAAGAAACCAATACATACAAGCCACAACAACATGGGCTGGTTGACTGAGGAAGGCTCCCAGCTTGTTTCCAGCCAGACATCGGTACTCCCCCGCATCGCTGCGCTGTAGGTTGGGTATCTCATACACGTTCTGTGAGGTGTTTCGGAGCAGGAAGGTGCCATCCTTCAGCCAGCTGTACACTGGCGTCGGGTAGCTCGAGGCCTGGCAGGTCAGCCGTTTGATCACATTCTCCGGTTTTGGGTCACCGGAGGCTGGCTGTTCCGTGATCTGCTGGGGAGGGTACTCTTCTGCAAAACAAAACCCCGACATCAACAGACAGGCCACATTGCAGGGATACACAAGATACAACATTGGTACACATGACATACAGTTACACTGTTCACAAGTCTCTGTATTTTGTTATCTTTGTTTTCCTGTAGCCTGGAGCATTTACTATGTTTACAATGGTTGCCTATCTGTGCCAGCCTATCCAATTGGCAAATAAATTTACACTAGATGTGTAATTCAATTAAAAGTAACAATCTTAAGACTTGACAATATGTAAAATTTAAAATTTAGCAGCAGAAAGTAGTAGTAGTAGTAGTAGTAGTAGTAGTAGTAGTAGTAGTAGTAGTAGTAGTAGTAGTAGTAGTACATGTAGTAGTGAAAGAAAACGACTTTGGGAGTATTTATATACATATGCTACTGATGTCTTATGAAAGAGGCTACAACCTTGACGTATGGTAAAGGCTATCCTGATGTTGTGACATATATATACCATATGTCCTATCAACAGATCTAGAACTGAGAATAGACATCAGTAACATAAAAACAACTGTGCCAGCTTCACGGCTCCCTTCATTAATTCCACAATGAATTATCACCAAATGATAAAAACGAACACATTCAACCTTCATCTTGTAAATTCCTCTCCGTGCTAGAAATGCGTGTGGTATCTTTTTCCTGCTTGTCACTCAAAATAGAAGATAACAATTGTGTCTGGCATCTGGCATCACAAATTAACAAACTTTTGAAACTTTTCATTTCCCTGTTATCATGATACTACTATCCTCATTAGTATCATAATCCTAACTATACCTAAGAAACAAACACTATAACCAACTTATTCACACATCTTCAACATGCTCAAACAGGATGTTAAGGTATAAATCAATATTCATTTAATCCCCTCATCAACTCAACATGCTTAAGAGATTGAGAAGTTAAACCCATTTTAGAAAGTTATTAAACCAATCAGTATTTATACTGATATCAGTCTTCTCATATTCTTGTACTCAAATGAAAAGGAGTGCCTAATCCCAGATGCTTCACATTCCATTCACAAGCATATATATATATTCCTTCAGATGAAATTCAAACAGAACACAAAAGACTGTTGTGTCTGTCATATTGATCAAGTCAATGTGACTATTATCATCACTCTTACAAAATATTTTCCATAATTTGCACAAAGCGTGTGTGTTGCCACTGTGGCCTGTGTAAACGGTGTGTGTAGTACAGCTGTGCGGGTGTCAAACCGTCACATTGAGATGTAATTATGGGCTCCAGCTGGTGTCTACGTCTACCGCGTGGTAATTCCATTAACTCCCTACCAGACACCCATTTCTTACACCAACTAAGAAGACAACCAGAGACGAAAGTACACTTATTTAATCAACACTATTTAGAGAATTGCATGTGTTTGTAGACTTCGAATATTGACGTTTTCTTACATGTCGTTAAACTCTTTTGAGACTGAATATCCACTTATGTCTGTGAAGTGTTCAGAATAGTCCATGAGAACAGTACACAGTGCTGCATATGGCAGCTAGGTTGATCAGCATCCAAGACACTCAGTTTCTATCAGTTTGTCGTAAAACAGAATTTTATTATGTTGGTATAATGTTTTCAGTGATCTACTTCACTGGTTGTTCAACTTTCAAAGCTTTACATTTGACAACTATCTCAAGACAACAAACAGGAAGACATATAAATAGCAAAAGCCTTGACATGGCTCAGATTTGACAGGTTAGGATATACCAACATCACTGATTTTCAACTGTGGACAAAGCAATTCTGGTTTTTTTCCTATTTCCATGAAACATTTGTTTGTTTATTTGTTGTTGAATGCCCCATTCAGCAATATTCCAGCTATATATAACGGTCGTCTGTAAATAATCAAGTCTGGACCAGACAATCCAGTGATTGACATCATGAGCATCAATATACGCAATTGAGATACGATGACATGCATCAACCAAATCAGCCAGCCTGGCCAACCAATCCCATTAGTCGACTCTTACGACAAGAATGGGTGGCTCAAGGCCAATTCTAACAGTTTCTTCACGGGACTTCAGTGAAAGCTTAAGAGAATGATGTTTAATGTTGCAGTCAGCAATAGTCTAGCTAGGCCTGTAAATAATTCTACCTGGGCCAGGCAAACCATTGATATCAATGACACTTTTGATAATTCATGACACAAATAGGAACCACCAAATCCTTATTTAAGCCAGCCCTTAGCACACCTAAACATGGGGATACATATTTGGCAATATATATCACTGTTCCAACTTGACATTACAAGTACACATTAATAAAGAATTCCTTCAACAGGACAGTTTGAGGGTCATAAATCTGTTATGTCATATAGTATTAATTCCATTGATGATTGATTATCCCATATAAGTCACATTTCTTCAAATGTGTCCAAATGAAAACCATAAAGATTAAGTATCAAAACTCATACTTCGTGTGCAAATAAGTTTGTGAATATTTTGCAACACACTTATGAAACTACAACATGTACAATGGCCCTGAATGCACTCATAAAAACTAACTTGTCTACTAAATATGATTGTCAAGACAAGGATGAAGAGTTATTTTTAACACAACATACACAAGAAAAATTCTCTCTTCATGGCTGCAAGGAATATCTATAAAAAATGAACCAAAACTAACCCCATTTGCTACTCCACTGTTTAACATAAACTAAAAACATTGCTGAAGCTGAACAGACGGTCAACAAACTGCCCACTTTTCATAACATTGGCCCCTGTAAAAGCCCTACATGTTTGTTGTCCAGTGTACACGACATCATTGCCACCTGGCCCCTGAGCTCTCAAAGGGTTAATTTGGGGCCACTTCATCTCCAGTACACAGTCCCCATCTCCATCACATGCAAATCTATTCAATCCATATTTCAGGATGGCCAGAAGCAGTAATTCTGCGATTTCCTATCAATACAAACGATTTCTTGTGATGCCAAAGCTATTTGGGAATTCAGATTACGCTTAAACCCCAAAAACATGTTGAAGTTATTGATCTGCCAAGATTGACAGTGTCACACAGAAAAGCAGAATAACAATGAATCTGTCAGATGTTTCTAAATATTTGACAAATGACTGAGAAATGGTAATCTTTTCCCCCAATTTCTTTAAACACACTTGTAATGGCAACAGCTGAGAAAGCTGAAAGCTCTTGATGATTACCTGTTTAAAAAATGCATAAATGATAAATGGACATAGGGCTATGTTTATATCATGTTATATTGCAACACTGATTTTTTTCTGATTTTTTCATTAACCCAGAATGTGATGCATGGTCGAGGGAATTATCAAACATTCTGATTAACCATATGAACAAAGAACAATGTTATGCATGCTGTATAAGGCCTAAAGTGTGTTTCTAAAATCTACTTTTTCTGAAGTAAGGCCCAAGTGATATATTTGCAAGTAGACTTTGAATTATAACACATTAATACATTAAAAATTGGTTGATATCCATAACATCATAAACATTAACATACAAACAAATGCAACTAAAAAAATAATTTGGTCCAGAAAATTATGGAAAACAAAAACAAAAACATACAAAAAGCTATTGTACATTGAACATGCTTGTTTTTAGGAACAAACCACAGCATGTTGAAGACACCAACTACATGTACTACATCAATACACTACCAGCCCCCAGTGATTACCAGAAAGGAACTGTCTTGATTTTGTCCTGATTTTGATAGGTGTATGCTCATTGTTCCAGTTATTATTTTAATTATCAGTACCTATTTTAGTCTAACAAATTCTCTAAATCCTCTATACTTACCAGGCATTATGCTCTCAGTGGTAGGAAATGCCACTGCTTTTTATCAAAAGCATAGAAAGAAAACTTTCTATCCAAATATCTATCATCATGCAGCATATAACATGAATACATAATTGTTCCAATTGTCAAATAACAATGGAAAAACAATGCTGTAAATTATCAGAGCACTGTATAATGTCCAGCCAACTGAAAGAAATGACACATTCTTCCTTTTCCAAAGAACACTTCACAGATACAAATGATGAAAAACAATGCAAACAAAAAATCATAATGTAAAATGTCAAACAACTTTTGATGTGTTACTGTAATTACTAACATGATTAAAGTATCTTATGTAATGAAAATTTTTAAAAAAGAAATTTCCTATTCATGTTTGACATGATAACAATTGGACATTTTACCATTTTTCTCTCTGTCATGTTATATGATATCACGATACAGTGTATTGAAACATCTAGATCTGAGTAAGAGATAGCAGGGAGATGTGGATGTGGTCTTTTCAGTGGGAGTATGTGCATGGTTTTACACTTTTTCATGGCGGGGGATATCAAGATTGGTTTTTACACATTGTACCAATGTTTGAAATATAACCAGCCTGCGGATTAGTATTTACAACAAATGCTTGAACCCTTTGGCTACCCTAATGCTACCCTAATGCCCTAGTGCTGCAGGTCAATCTTTTGTACCACTTTGGTGAAACAAATCACTGGGATCATATCTTAGGTAAATCTGGGATTCAAACCCATGATCAAGAAAGAAATCCTGGCACAGCTAAGGGAAGCAACTCTGCACAGCAAACTGCTTCTTTAACTGCTACCCATGGTCCCATGGAATAACAAAAGTTACCATAAATATACAGTATGATGAGCAAGAAGTTGGAATTGATCAGCTTTGATTTAAGAATCTCCCACAGAAACATTATTACCCAAGGTTAATCATAAATAAGGCCAATGTGAAGAGAGATATATCAGCAAGATCAGCAACTATTACACCTCAATAATATCTCATAGTCCTGTATCATTCAGGCCCTACGGCAAAACCTGTTTCAATCTATAAAACCTTAGTAACTATGGAGACACCAGTTTGAAAGAGGACATGCTTCTTCCCCCCCCCCCCCCCCCCCAACATGATCCAATATTCATTTAATAGTACACACTATGCACACTGGACCCCAAGAACATTTCTCCATGGTGCTCTCCTCCCTTTT